ATCCATACAATTATACTCGGAACATTCAAGTTCCTATGATTCAATTGGGCACAAGAATCATTGTCCTATCCCTCTATAAAGAGTCATTGCTATATATATATATATATATATGTTTGTAATAATCAAGGAACAAGCAAATTATTAGATATAATAAAATGAAGTACACACAAATGTATTATATATATATATATATATATACTTTAACAATCGAAAGTATAGAATATCATTGAACTAGATAAGGATTATAGTGCGTATAAAGGCAAATTAATTAAGAAAATCGATATTAAATAGGGGAGAAAGAGAGGAAGAACTTAGCTGTGAAAATCGATTTGAGAAAAAGTGTGAGAGAAAGAGAGAGAGAGAGAGAGAGAGTAAAAAAAAAGAGTTTGCTAAAAGTTCGAGCAACCATTTCCCCTATCCATTCGATTTCCCAATAGAGAGTGATTCTTTCTCGATTTTCACTTTCTTACAAATCGATGAGTTCCTAGATTTGATTCATCCACGTTTCACGAATTACTTTCATCGACGATTGATCTTATGATTAGTTGGAGAAAGTATTAATTTTTCTTTTCTTCCTTTTTTTTTCTTTTTCTCTTTTATCCTCTTTCATCTCGTTCGCACTCAAATTATGCAGTTCGTCGTGTGTAAACTTGAAACGTGCTGAAAGAAAATCAATTAAATCATCATACAGTCTCTCTCTCTCTCTCTCTCTCTCTCTCTCTCTCTTTCACTCGTTCTATCTTATTTTTCTTCTTTTTCCAACTACGTAACAGCAATTAATTGAAGCGTTTCGCCTGTATATGGCACGACTGATTTTAATTACGAGTTCGTTCGAACGATAACAACGTTTTACGTGTGCGTGCGTATGTGTGTTTGTGTGTGTGCCTGCGTGCCCGTATGAAAAGGGAGAGAGGGAAAAAAGAAAAAGTGTGTGTTTGCTTTTGGCACGGATCGATGATGTTCTTTTCTCGAGTACGCGTGAAATCAAACGATATCTCTGTTACTTTTTTTCAAAAAATAACATTCGCTTCTCTGAAAGAAGAAACGAAAAAGAAAGAAAAAGAAACAAAAGAGAAAAAGAGAAAGAAGAAATGAGAAAAGAAATAAAAGATAAATATCTCGTTTGTTTATATAGATATATTCCTTTTTTTGTTCAGGTATAATCTGCGTATGTTGGATCACCGGTACATTGGTAGGCTTCTTACCACTTTTTGGATGGAACGCTGGAAAAAAGTCCGACGAAAAGTGTATATTCACTCAGGTGATGGACTACGATTATCTGGTCTTCCTCTATTTTGCTACCATCATATTCCCAGCGTTATTAATTGTCGCATTTTATGCCCTTATATACAGGGTAGTTGTAAAGCAGGTCAGTCATATTCGAAATTATATAAGGAATCATCGGAGTCCACCAACAATACCCCAATTCGCCCCCGCTCGTAATCTCTTCGAAAAATTTGAGCCCTTCGTGCATCGCTTTCGAGTTAGAAAGATTAGATATCTCTCTTATCTTTAATAGATTCGAACGTAATAATCGGCTTATGTAAATTTAGACTTTATTTCTTTTCTTTTTCTATCTTTCTCTTTTTTTCTTTTTATAACATCGACGCTTAACCCTCAAATGCAAAAAGAAAAAAAAAAAAAAAGAAAAGAAAATAACAAAATAAACAGAAACTAAACTTCTTTCTCTCTTTCTTTCTTTCTAGCATACGTATTTACAATACTTACATGCATACATACATACATGCGTACATGCATGCATGCTTGGCATCATTCAAGGCAATCTCTCTCTCTCTCTCTCTCTATCTCTCTATTTCTCTTTGATTCGATAGATCTTTTATCATCCAACGTATATTTTAAGTTCTAAATTAAATTCCGTTGTTTAAATTCAGGAAAAAAGTCCCTTTTTGGATTCGGGGGTTAAGATGGAACGACGAACTTCGAAAGATGCTAAGTACCGATCCCGTTTGCTCGATGGGAAAACACGATCGTCGGGATGCTTTCAGTTACAGCAGATAGTCACGATGAATCCAGGACGTCGTACTGGTAGCATTTCTGGTCTTGCTGGTGGTACTACCTCGGCTACTGGTGTTACTGGTTCTGGTCTTACTGGTGGTATTGCTGGTGGTAGTGGTAACCATCACACAACCGGGACGATGCAACGTTTCAAGCGCGATGTCAAGGCCACACAAAATCTATCCCACATAGTAATATTCTTCATCATCTGTTGGTTCCCTCTTTACACGATAAACTGCGTGATGGCTTTCTGTCCGCGTTGCCAAGTCAACGAGTTCTTCATGAATCTCTGTATCATTTTGTCTCATTTAAATTCAGTCGGAAATCCTCTTCTTTATGCCTATCATCTTAAAGACTTCCGTGAGGCACTGAAGAATTATTGGCGTTTATTATTTTCGAATGGCGAAGTTAAGTCTAACGTTATTAACGTCATTCACGAAAGAGGATCCCTAGCTGGTTCGCAAAGACAATTTCATAGACAATCCTTCGTTGGTACTTTGCCGATTAGAAGCCAAAGGTCCAGTCTTTTGAGACAGGTAATCCATTCTATTTTTAATCTAGTTTTAATCTAGGTATATATAATCGTACCTTTTTAATCGCTTGATAAAATTGAACGATGATTGTTAAAGGTGACGGATTTTCAAGCTAAAGAAATGTCTTCGTTGAGTCGAGCATCTTCCATTCGTGACAAAGAGGAACGTAAGGAGCCAATGGTTTCATCGAGTTCTTCACCGAGCGAAGAAATACGACGTAGCAGCTGCGAATATCCTTTAAACGAGGATAGTCCTTCCTCAACGTGCGAAAGAAGTTCCTTGGAACGTTTCGAATCTGCTGATACTCCATCAAAGGAGGATTCGCAAATGGAATTACAAATTTATAAAGCTCTCGCAGCCGTTCCAACATCGTCGGAAGTAGATCGTTCCGATCGTTTCGAGGAACTCCCACCCACCTCGATTTTCATAATAGAGGCGGATGTGAATCGAACTGTGTCGAATCGAGATGAATGTGAGGTGAATTCGAACGAGAGGCAGGACGAGGGAGGATAATCCCTTTCGAGAGAATAATTTATGGTTTCAACGATGTATATACGATAATGCATTGCATGCATACGAATGCAATTCGTTGATTGACTCTGATCTGATTGGCCGATGATCTATGTCAAGTTCGAATGCGCGATATTTGAATGTTCGATGTTGGTACTACCTGTGCCCAAAGAATTCTTCATTGTATATAATATATATTCAATATAATGTTTTATCTTGAGGTATGATTAAAATCGTTAAGACTGTTTGTACAAAATTAACATCGACTGACCATACTGAGATTACGTTTTACGCTTCTTTCAAGTTATAAATTTCGAACGCAATGAAGATCGGTATCTAGATCGTATCATTCATCACAAAAATATATGACTGTGTATATATTAAAGCAGAAAACAAATTATTCTTCTATGAATATCGATAAATTACTTATGATAAGTTACTAAAACATATCCATGACGAAACTAAAGATCTCATTGAATGTCCCGAATTGTTTTCTCGTAAAATCAATGTAATAATGTAATAATTCATATCTTTTACGAGTTAAATCATATACACAATAGTTGTATAAATACTTGAATGATGTTGTGTCTAATCGAGGTATGTGTATTTTAACACACAAAATATCGAATTAAATTTATAATATATATTCGTCATTTAGAAGGAATATTACACGAATATTTCATATTATTACATTACTCTGCTGTATTAACAAATGTTATAATCGAAATGAATTTTAAATATTCGAAGCGTTCGGTATACTTATTAACTAGTAAATAAAAATTATTTGAATTTGACCGCTTCAATATAGAGCTATCTACTGGAGAACGTATGAATTAATGTATGTGAGAAAAAAAGATGGCGACCCCTATAAAAGCCCGCGCTTTTTTAGTCGGATTCATCTGTTGCATGTGTGCATTCTTCACGTGATGTTTTCGTCGTAACAAGCCTCGAGTTAATTCGAATTTTCTTCTCGAATGAATTTCAATAATGTGTTAACGAAAGAAAAACAAGAATGAATCCAAGCGAAGTGGTGTTTTTAGCAGAAAGAAAGCTTGTTACGATAGTGCCAAATTTTAGTTTCGGTGCGATACATTTGATCTCCGGTACTATAGGACCATTTCGTGCTGGTTTACCTGCAAAAGTACCAATTTGGCTTGCTGTAAATTTAAAACAACAACAAAGATGTCGTATTGTTAATCCAGAATGGATGGAAGCTGAAAGTTTAGAGGAAGTTGCAGAGACAGAGAAATTGTCCAAGTAAACTTTTCAATTTTTTTCTCTTTCTCTCTTTTTTTTTCCTTTTACAATGGAACATTGCCTTATTTATAAATACGTTTACCGTAATTATCGTTAGATTGTTCACTAAAATGCCAAGCAGTCATTACATGGATGAGGCTCAACTATTGCTTAGCGTAGCCAGTGACGATATACATGAGTCAGAAAAAATAAGGACAGCGATAAAAGTATGTATGTACAGATCCCTTAAGAGAAAAGGATTAATTAAGACTAAAATATATATTTTTAGGATATATGGGATTTAAGAATGTCTAAACTACGAACATCCGTAGATTCATTTATAAAGAGCGATAGTTTGCATGCAAGACTTGATCATCTTACCATGATGGAAATCAATAGTATACGTCCATTATTACCACATACTTTAGATCAAATATTAAGAATTCAATCTGTACGTGATAATTTTTATATCAGAAATGACCATGGTATTGTTGCCTCAATTGTTTCTAAAAATAATATTTTATCTTTTCATTTTACAGAGTAGTAGCGGTACAGGAAGTACTACTGCGTCTCAGTGAAAATATTATATTTTTTTCATTTATAAAGCCAAGGATAAGGATTATTAATAATAGAATATATATATATATATATATATATATATATATATATATATCTTTTCTTTTTTTTTTTTTTTCTTCATACGAGTGTTGTAGAATAGTTTTATTACTTAATTTACTTTATCTCAGTACATCATACAGTCACTAGCATCTCAATCACATGTTCTCATTATCACTATCATTATTAAATGCATATTTACAGTGGTACACCTCTTCCATTCATGTTCTATGGTTTCTCACATTATTTACATCTTCTAAACTTATAGTATACAGTCCCTTAATCATCTTTGATTTGATGTCTTAAAGATAAATACTTATATATATATATATGCGTGTGTGTGTATATATATATATATATAAATATATATATATATAATTATTTCTAAGGCCACTTGTAATATAACATCGAAATGCAAACTTTAAAATGAGAAAACTGATATTCATGAATTACAGTGACTTTCTATTAATATACACGTACGAAACATGTAAAAGTCCATTAAATTAGAAATAACTTCGAATGTCGTCGTAATATATATGTATATATATATATATATATAAAAGAAAAAAGAACGAAGTAGCAGAAGTGTAATTCTTTTCTAATATCGTATCGTATATAAGATTGTAATGTACTAATATTTGGTGGCAAAATCGCGACGTGTTATTAAAATTCGTTGTGTCTGGAGCTGCTTATATAAATCGTACAAAATAATTTCTTTTCGATAATATATAGATATAAATATACGGGTATAAAAAGAGTGTATGCTTTATCAAAAGAATGTCGGCAGCGTAAGTATCACTTCGTAATATCAACAAGTTATTAATACTATAAATATAGCTTGCATATATAAAAGAAGATTTGATCAAAATTATATCTCAGTTTCATATGTGTAGATTTATATATATATTAAAAAGAAAAAAATAAAAAAAAATAAAAATAAAGAGAAAAGTAAAAATTGCAACTATATTCTATAGCATAATAATAACTGGGAAAATTAATAAATTTTTTAGCAGTCCCTGCTATAAGTACCATATTTCCTATCTCTGAAGTACCATTATCACAAAGTAATAGGGATCAAATATCAACGAATAATATTTGTCAAAAATTTCTCTTCACGAATATCGCTCGATTTCTTTTAAATCATTTAACAATTTGTCAACGAATGAATATAACAATATTTAAAAAATTTTCTCTTGTAAAGCACACTTATGCGATATTCGAGCACACTATTATGTATTAAAAAGAAAACGATCTCGATTGTAATATCAAAGACATTTTCTTTGGTAAACCTCGATGATATTATACTTAAACAGCGACAATTTTACTAGGGTCTACTTTAACTCGGATAAACATTGTGTCGTCCTTTACGAAATGTCGTTTTTTAACCATTTCGTGTGAGACAAATCGTGGAAATCCGAAACCAAGTGAATCTGGTTCACGACTGGGCCTTTGAAAATTTTTCCAGGTAGGATCTGGTATAAAACTTTCAACGATATTGCAAGCTTTTTCTGCTACGACCGTTTGATCGAACATGGTGAAAGACACGCTATGAGAAAATGGCCATCGCAATAGAGCATCGTATTCCCCAGGTAGAATTTTTATGTATATAGAAATGTGGCTGCCTTCGCCGGTTCCGTTTCCATTTAAGAAAACCGAAGCCTGTAATAATAATCGAAGATAGATTATGAACTTAAAGGAATCACTATGTGTATAATACGTATATATATATATATATATGATAATGAATAATAACCTGCAGCTTATATCCGTATTGACTAGTGTAAAAGGGTGGACTGACGAGTTCCATTCCTTCCTTGGCCCTTGCCTCGGACATCTTAGCTGTATAATCCGTGATTTTCCATATAAGAGTGCCAGTAAAATTCAACGAAAGTTTACTGATCGCAGACTTTAGACTCGTTATCTGATGCTGCTGCTTCGTCACCACGCTGCACATTAGACTGAGATGCATTTTCGCTGATTCCTCTAGATGTTTATCCAAAGAAAATCTATTACCCTGGAGAAAGAAGAGAATCATCAGTGTGTTAGGTTATTTGTCAGGTATCAAACTGTTAAAACCAGTAATTAATCAGGAGTACTGTAAAGACAAAAAAGAAAAAAAAAAGAAAGAAAAATGTAAGTACCTTAAAGCGACAGCCGGCATCCTTAAACGTGCACGAGAGCAAATGAGTCGTGCAATGATCTTTAAGGTGAACTTCGAGATCTTCTCTCGGCAAAACTGCGGTCTCACAACGATGAGGACAGGCTACTGGGAAACGGCCGCACTTTGCGTGGTGAGCACCAAGCGTATCATAGACAAACTCCTTGTTGCAGTAACGACAAGCAACCAATCTCTTGGCGCATTCACCCAACTTGTGCTGGCCTAAGTGTCTTCTTTGAACTTTCATTCCACATTTGTTCTCACAGTACAACGGCTCGTATCCGCATGTACCTGTGTGTTTCTAAAAGGAGATAACGAGAAAGTATTTAATGTAGACGTTCAACGCTTAACAGTCGTGTCACGGTTAACAATCATTTTTGTAATTGCTTTTTAGTAATTTACCTCGAGGGTGTGGCCGGTAAATTCTTTGGCACAAAAATCGCAGCGTGCCCTCCGTTGGGCGCAAGTATATTTCAAGTGGTCCTCCATCAATACACGCGGTATCATTGCACCACATTTATTACTGCATGGAACTGCATCGTGTTTGCAGGTATTCAAGTGAGCCTAAATTCGATTCGATATTATTCATTTATTTATTTGTTTCTTTCTTTCTTATTTTTCTATTCTTTTCTTTTGTTTTTTTTTTCTCATGCATATTATAATTTATTAAGTTATTCCGTTCGAAAGGAAAAAACATTACTACGATACCTTTAATTTTCTTAATTCATCCGACCATTTGCAACCATCTTTGTGATGTATGCAGTAAACAATGGATCCCATTATTGCCTTTTCAGCTTCCAAGTCGTGGAAATTCTGTAAGAAGCAAACGAGAAAAGATTCTCTATCAGTACATTCTTACCTTCTATATATTTCTTTTACGAGAAAAAGGAAAAGATATGATGTCTATTGTAGTCTCTCCCTTCTTCGAAATGAGAAGCTCGGTTAATTGATTCTTTTTATATATATATATATATTTTTTTTTTTTTTTTTTTTTTTTTCTTTTTAAGACAAAAAGGTAGGAGCACACCGTGTTGCGCGATTCTAAGAGAGAAACGAATCAGTCTAGTTTTTGAGGATTGCCGGGATTATAAATTAATTAGGATTCAGATCTTTACGACTAAACAACGATACCACCTCCTCAATTTAATTTCGACGTTCGGTGATTTTTAGAAAGTAGATAGAAATTAATCAGACGACTGATATATATATATATATATATATATATATATATACGATTGCCTAGTTTTAATGGGAGGGGGGTATGAAAAAACAAAAAAGAAGAAATAAAATCACCGTATAAGAAATTTTATTTCTTTTCTCAAGCTTTTAACTTGATCCCATAAACAAATTTTCTCGCCTGTTTTATCGGGAATAAGATGGGGGATTTTTTTTTTTTTTTTTTTTTGTTAAATTTTTCGCAAATGATGTAATTGGGATAACATGATGATCGTCGTCAAGTCTGTCCAACGGAGTACATAGCGTCGCTCTCTTGAGATCCGTTAGATTTGCGTAATCTATTTTGCGGTCCCGCTGCTCACTTTACCTTATTCGTCGCGCTTAATTGCATAAAACTTCAGAAAAAGCATCGAAAAAAGATATATGTATGTATGTGTATGTATGTATGTATGTATATATATTAATAGAATGAAATTAATTGAAAAATGAGAATAGAAGGACGTACGTAGAGAGAAAGAATAATCTTCGAAAGAAATGATATTATGCAGGAATGTTAACCTGTACATGACTCCTATGTACATAAGAGGAATGCAAAAGATGACAGATGAGATTGAATAAATTATCTTTCCCGAGGTCGTACGAAAAATAAATAAATGTTATAAGAGGGAAGAAGAGATAACGTTTGTGCGGGGTTATGTCACTACAGATGGATTTCCTTTAAAGTTTTCGTATAACAGTAAACTTAACTAACGGAACTTTCACTTTAATTGTTAAAGAAACTTTCGACGTGTTAACAATATAAGAAATATAAAAAGAAATAATTAATTTGCTAATCGATGAAAAGGAAAACAAAAAAAATAGAATTATCTAAAGGGGAAAACAATCCAATATCTCTGAAGAAACGACTACCATTGGATACCTTGCTGTTGATTATAAAGAAAAAGCAACAACTGATTCTCAAATATAAATGTGCATATTTCTTGGAAGCTGAAAATCCAATATATATATATATATATACATATATATATAGTATATATGTATGTCGGAAATAGTGATACATAATAGCTCGTTCGATGCAGGAGACTATAGGCCCCCGTGCTAAGACCAAGCGGGTGGTGATGGTGGTGGTGGCTGTTAAGTTCAGAATATATTCAGGTTTTTCTTCTTCTTTTTTCTCTTTTTTTTTTTTTCAACTCAGCTAATAATCGCACTCGTATCTATAACAATTTCTAATTTATAATCGCGAATTGTTTAAATGGCCCAACCAAAACGAGATTCGATAGTTTAGTTTATAGACCGAGAAACGAAACGAAGGTATATATACATATACATTCGTTCGATCCTGTTGTCATCGATGCCACGATCGGAGAGAACGCGTGGGAGGAGTTGTTTCGTTCCTTCGAAAACAACACGAGCGTTCGGGCTTGTTTAAAGGTGCCGTCACATTGGCAAAGAAAATTTATCTACACCGATCCTTGATATACATATGTATACGATACGATAGGTACGTAAATAATCTATATTATTCGTAGAATCACAACGTGACGTTAAAAATAATTCATCGTCAGGTTCATCGACATGGAAGATGATTTGTAATCGACTAATGGTAATAGCGGCATCGATAGGACGGCCACGTCGAATTTGCATTTCTCGTGCGGACACACCCGGTATATTCTCGCGATGTCTGGAGGTGCTTGCAAGTTGAAACCTGCACGACCAGCAAGGTCGAGGAACCTAACGCAACCAGCCGCTGCCGGCGAGATATAAACACTGACCAGGAATGGAAAGACAGACCTGCCTTGGAGAGTTTCAGGACTGTGACAAAAAAAAAAAAATATATATATATATATTATAGAAAATAGGTAAGTAAAATTAATATAACGTTTGTTTTACAACACATCCTCATTTTTTTCATTTGACTATACGATGAATTTTTTTCTTCTTTCTCTTCTTTCTTTTTTTTTTTTTTTTCTTTTTTCTCTTAATAGAAAAGTATATTTTTTTTATCTAGGGTTCAATGATATTTAATTTCATCAGACGAAACGCTTCTAAAAGTTGATTTTGAAAGACGCATCATGTATTCCCTTTCGAATACTCTCCCTTTAGAGCGTGTTCGCTTCACGCTCTTTTAAACTCAGCGGTATATGATCTTTGATCTTTGACAGCCTTCGTAGAAAAAGACGCCCTGTTTATGATCTTAAAATGCTATACGTATTCTCCGTAAGCGAGGCTAACTCAGTAGAACAAATAATTCCTTTATTCCAGATCCCAAAAATGATCTCTCTCGTTAATTTTCATCATTTTCTTATTTTCAATGTCTGCTCTTTGACTCCCATACGTTTCCTTTATACATCCATTTATGTCGTTCATTTCGTTATCTTTCTTATCAGTGATTAATGATAATTATCAACGGACATTCACGTACTTGTTCAAAAATAAGGAACTGTCTGAGACGAAAAGAAAATAAGAAACGTCGGAGAATAACGATCTCACACGTCGACTTACATAAGTCATGTAACACTTTGAATATGACACGATGATCTATGTTTCTCAGTTTGGTGGATCCTGTTAGTAGTAGTAGTAGTAGTAGTAGTAGTAGTAGTAGTAGTAGTAGTAGTTGTAACAGCAGAAGTAGCAGCGCAGCATCAGCTGCTGTTGCGAAAAACGACCGCCGAAAACCGTGTTAACTACCGAATGACGTTACATAAGATAAGAAAGTTTGCAGAACTTGTTTGAGGATGTATCCCATAAAAAAAGTGATTGCAATCGATGATAATAACAATAATAATCAGTCGACGTTAACGTCATTATTATCATTGTTATTACAATGAGATGAAATACGACTTGTTAGTTAGTACAAAGTTCAAGTTCTATATCATTCGAACACGTGACGCGAATGTATCCTGATAAGAAGTGTAAAAAAGTCGGATCAACTTATATATATATATATATGTATGTATATGTAGGATTCTTGAATAAAGGTCCTCCAATGTCCTGATCTCGCTCTTATCGAGAACAAATTAATATTACCGACGTTAGGCGCGTTCCAACGACGTCTCGGTTAGCCCTCGGGCGTTAAGTTACAAGTCCGTGTGACGTCACATCGAAATAACGGACACGATCCTTGCGTTCCACTTCTTTCTTTATACCACGAGTAACATCGATGATATGCGCAAATATCGTGCTTAGAAGATCTCTACGCTTATCGGAGATAAGCTGTGATCGAGATCAATATTTACGAGCAACATTCTTCTTATATGATAAAGTAATGACATAACGTGGATCAAATTGATGTAATCGATTATTAATTACACATGATTCCCTCTTATCAGGTTTTATAATAAAATATTTAAATGTATATGTATATATATATATATATATATATATATATATATATATATGTATTATGAATCTGACCTAATTAAAAGAAATAGAAAATCTTGATTCTTAAGATTTTTATATTGAGCTACATTATAATAAAAAAGAAAACGTAAATTATATATATATATATATATGAATAACTTAGGCCACTTTCATAATCATTAGTATGTACGTATTATAATAATAAAAGAGAAAGAGAGTTTCTCGAGCGCGACAAGCGACTCAACAGTCAAGGGTTAATTTTCTTCTTCCGCCTCTTTGCCTCCCCCAAGATATCGCTCTCTCTCTCTCTCTCTCTCTCTCTCTCTCTCTCTCTCTCTTTCTCTTTCCTTCACGGGTCACGAGCTCTTTGAAATCCCTGAATGGCGACCCACGAAGAATAATTTATGGGGTTCGAAGGCTTTCCGCTCGAAAGCGTATATACACGCATACAAACTTTACCAGAAGGATTATATATATATATATATATATATATATATATATAATATATACACTATATACGTGCTTTATATATATATATATTGTATATATATTATACACATAACCGACAGGAAGTTTTCCTTTCGCACGCGATGCTGCCTTCCTCGATGTCAGAAGAAGGATCAAGTACTAGCAAAGAGAATCACGGGGCATGACGTTTCTCGACGGAAACAGCCTCGGTTTTGATGAAAGGATTCCCTCAAAGAAGTCCTCGTTTCGTTCATTATCTTTACCGTTTCATAAGAAGGAATGGTAAAAGAAAATTCTACAGATTTCTGTTCGAAGAAAGGACAAAGGTAAAAAAAAGGAAAAAAAAAAAGTAAAGAAATGTTTGATCGAGCCGCGCTGAAGAAAAAAAAAAAATTCGAGAGAGCGTCATCGACTAATTCATTTTCTTCAAACTTAATGAATTCCAAACCCGGTTTCTCCCTCTTTCTCTCATTGATCTTAAACGTAGAAAAAGAAACCTGCTGTTCGATCGTAAGAGACGACATCAAAGCGTGTGTTGTGTCTCAAGCTATAGCTTGAGATCAAGGAGGACAACGACGATCAGGATGCTACACCGCCTCCTCCTTCTTCTCCTCCTCCTCCTCCTCCTCCTCCTCTCCCGTTCGCCGATCTGACAAGGTCGCGTGCCTCCACGACGAAAAACTTGTCCGTTTGAATTCAAGCGTAACCGACACATTCGTGCATTGCTAATGTACCTCTCTCTTTCTCTTGCTCTCTCTTTCTCTATCTATATTTGACGACAACTTTGATTTCTAACGAAAGCTACATTCCAAAAGGTACCCAAAGAAAACTTCCTGTCTAGAGTAATTGTCTTTTCTAATGGACATCTTGCTGAGACTCGCGATATATATATATATATATATGTATGTATGTATATATATATATACCATAGTTATCTATAGCTTATGGAACGATCGAGATAGCTGATGTGACAATGCAAACATCGTCGCAAAGATCGTGCTTCGAATAGAACCGTTACTTAGAACGTGATACAACGTTGTACGGATATCCGTGCATTCGATGAGATCGTACTTGAGGTACATAACGCAAAGAGAGTCTCTTTCTTGTGCCCGGATGTCCGGACATTTTACGTGATACTTTGAAACGATCGATTATCGATTGATTATCGATCACGAATTATTCTCAATTTTCAACAGACGATAAGAAACGTTAATGATAATCATTAACGATGACGACGATTACGATCAACGATAATGAACGTAGGAACGTTCGTTACATTTCGTATTTTCCATGCGACAATCGAGGTAATAGTAAGAGAAAGAGAGAGAGAGAGAGAGAGAGAGAGAGAGACACTTTTCTCAGAGTAACTAGCAACCGAGCTAGCAAGAGAATGCAAGAAAAGTTTCACGACAGAGAGAGAGAGAGAGAGAAAGAGGTGGAATGCGTTTAACAATGCGAAGGAGGAACGGCTAATACCGCGGAACTTCCGGTCGTGGCACTCACCATGGGAAGATAGGCGGGTCTTTTGCTTTTAAATTAACACGCCGTAATTACGGTTGCCCGTAACCATCCGCGTTATCTCGCATTCCTGCGTCAGGAGGGTCACGAGCCCGCTGACTCTTCTACCTCTTTCTCTCTCTCTCACACATAACTTAATAACGAATAGTTGCTTGCATTAAACTAAGGTGGTAGTACATACCTGCATGATATTTCAAGAGAAATTTCTTTCGAATTGATTAAGTTAATCGGTATTAAATTAATTATAGTATTATAGGATACATAACTAGAGAGTATTGAATCGATGTATCATTTCTTTGGAAAGCATTATTCTTTCGAAAAAATAATCGCGTCGTAATCTTAGAAACTACTTTACGATCTGTAGGGTTTCAAGAGTTCAATGAGTGCAACGTACACTTCGTATCGTCATACGATAATGAGAAATGACAGAAAATTGTGACGATCAGTGACATTATTAATCTTAAATATTCCTTTCCTTTTGATATTTTTTTTTTCCTCATAATACCATTGGTTAGGTCTGCGGAGACGTGGTTAAAGACGAGCAAAGGCCTTTCCCGGGTGTATAAAATAAAGCACCGACGAGGAGGCGGCAGACTTGTGGTAGAGTGGGGATAGTGAACACCGCGAGTGAGCTCCAAAGATGAAAAGTGGGGAGAAAGGCGGCGGCGACGGCGGAAGCGTGGGAACCAAGCGTAACAGATGGCCTCGACTGCTTCCGAACGAGCTCGGACTCCTTCGTGCGTCTTCGTGGGATAGGGCCTGCTTTTCGCTCGCGCGTGCTCCTCGACGAGAGGTGGGCCCAACTCTTTGACTCTATCGCGGCTACTCAGAACTATGCCGATTTGCTTTTCTTTCTTTCTTTTTTTCTTCCTTCTTTTTTTCTTCGCTCCTCAGAGAGATCATTTTGTATACCGTGATCATTGAATTAGGATAAACGGAAATTAATTAATTTTTTGATCATTATCATGATCATTGTACTTAGTATGTAAACAAAACGGATCATATAAAGTTTTGCATACTCTATTCATGAAAAATATATTATGGATTTTGAGTTACATGAATAGTTGAAAAAAAGAAAAATAAAGAAACAAAGGAAAAAATATTTGAAACCCTGTACCTAAATGATTTCGAAAACATACAGCCTGTAACATTTTACTCGGACCGCTTTTCGTTAACGTAAACTTTCGAGACGATAATTTAAAACAGTTTACACAATTCCATTGGGAAAACAAAAGGAAGAAGATGAGTCTTCCGGAGTAATGCCGTAGCACGCGCCAGAGATACCACCCGTGGACATTTCTATTGTTATCTTCCGAAAGTATGTTTACGCGAACAAACCACCGAGTGTCAGTTCTTCTCGGTTTACACGTCGTAGAACCAGACCCAGACTATCATCGGCACGCATACACACCCCTGAATGTTTGCCTGTTTTGAAAAGTACCCTCTTACAAAGGGAGACGCAAATGCGGCGCACGTGTTGCGAAAGTGAGTCCTGCATGCGTCCATTGTTGGTGGAACGAACCGCAGTGCGAGAATAAATCGACCGCAGGGAGGAGCGAGAGAAACGCGCCAATCCAAATATACGACACGCTTATGCACGTGTATTTGTGTGTATTCGATATAGACTCGGCTCCAGAGAAAGAGAGAGAGAGAGAGAGAGAGAGAGAGAGAGAGAGAGAGAGAGAGAGAGAGAGAAAACGTCCGGCTTGTCAACGTGACTCGACCGAGCCTCCTTTAACTATAGCGTGAAAATTCTCGTATGAATTTTATTCGAAAAGGTGCGAAAATTGATCGAAAATAATCGATATAAGCGGAAAAAGAAGCATTCTCAAAGGAAGCTGATGATTTTTTTTTTTTTTATCACGGAACAATTCCATGCATACGAACGTTCTCGAGAGGCTTGAATTAATACAGACCGAACATTAATTTCAACCATATCGTTCTTTCTTATAATGACGTTTTAAATATATGCTAACCGCATTCCGTTTCCGTTCCTCCGCATATTTCCTTCGAAACACGATTTAACTTCCGCCAATGAGAAAGAAACAGATATAAAAGTCTACGAATCGTCTGATCTTTAATGACACGTTATACATTTGTTTTACTTATTTTTTTCTTAATTCTTACTCATTGTTTTAAAATATGAAAAGATGAACCTTTGGAACAATCTTTTTTGATTGGCAAAAGTTCGACGGGGGGATAAAAATGAATCATAAAAATTTTATCGTTCCTTAAATATTTCGATATTTATCTAAATATTTTAAGTGTCGCGATAAAAGATTACAAAGAAATTCTATAGAATAATTCAAATATCTCGCAGCTGCTTTTAGATCTATGGATTAGAGAGACCTTCTTTTTCGTTCACGTCGGAATAAACCAACAATTTCATCTGTTATCTATTAATGGCAGCTGTACTCGCGACGCAACAAATCTCTCTCTCTCTCTCTCCAACAAATTTCTTACTTCCTCATCCTCATCTTCTATGTGTCTCCATATATGTTTTTCTAAACGCTTCTATGTTTTCTATCTATTATATATTAACGGTAACTGAATTGGATATGACACGACACGACACGACACGATACGACGACAACGGGACGAGGAAAAACTTTTTTCACGAAGTAGGAAATACTACTTCATCATCGTCAAGGATAGTTCTCATTCTAAAGGACACGCTTGTTTTATTGGTAGTTAGGCGAAACCAGTCGTTGCAACTAGGAAAGGACTTCTTTTCATCCCTGTTAACTAGTCGAGATCGTGTATCTTTTCTATATAACAGGTTTCCTAAGATCCTTCCGTGCTCTGTAATATCGCGATACACTTGTAAGGTTTCATATTTATTCCGGTTTTATAATCTAGAAGGCAATGGTAGTAAGCTCGAAGTTTCATAGTAAGCGCGTGTGCGTGTGTATTCTCTTTCTCTCTCTCTCTCTCTCTCTCTCTCTCTCTCTCTCTCTCTCTCTCTATCCCTCTCTCTCTTCTTACCAAAATCAAAGTATTTAGTTAAAACCAATTATATGAGCTTAATATAATAAGGTAAAGTATTTACGATAAGGAAGACTGAAAAGATGCCATTTGTGTCTCGTGTTGACTTAACATAGTAATTCAGATTATGATCCGTGTAAATACAGTAAACTTTCATGTCGCTCTAGTTTTGTATGATACACAATGATAAAATTCTCTGCCTATATATATATATAGACAGAAGAGTTCTGTGTAATATATAAAAAAAAAAAGAAAGAAGAAAAGAAAAGAAAAAAAAGAAATGTACAACACACACATTAAACATAGGTTAATACGCAAACATACACATTGGAAACGGATTTACATCTACTGTGTAGGTATATATGTATTATTGTGCCATAATGTGTCCTATCAGCCCGTAATCGCGTATTTACCTCGATAAGAGATTGTTCGCGAGAATAGAACCAATGTAAAAAAATTCTAGATTGTGAATATGTATGTATGCGTATAGAACTGGAGCCATAAAATAAGCGTACCTTACGATTTCTTTTCAATGGTCTCGTTATACTCGAATTATGTTGTTGGATTTGTTAAATTTCTTTGAGACTTCCTTTCATTCCCTTTTTTATTTACGTCAATGAAATAATTGGCTTTTGTCGATTCATTCAATGCTTCGTGTCGTACTCCGCACATATTATACTTATGCATATGCACAAATTGTTTTGTTAATGTACTTATAGTTCCTTTTCTTTTCTTTTTTTTTTTTTATGTTTTGCATTGTCGTCATTCGATGATCGTAATGCCCCGAGTCACGAGGGTCGAGGATAGTAACGTTGGTTATATTTAGACGAATAATAAAGGACTTCTTTCAGTATTGGATCGATAGTATTATCAATGTTCTCAGAAATACATATTCGTGATCGATGAGAATACATTTGTTGAAGTCGAGATCATTCGCTTTATTTTTATCCGTCAAAGTTCGAATAAAAATTTAGGGTGAACGTTTCATTTGAGATCTATCTGACTCTTTATCTCTTCTCCTTTTCTTTCTTTCTTTTTTTCTTTTTTCACTTTTCAAGTGAAAAAAAAAAATGAAAAATAATTTATAATTTGTGATCACATTGGTAAACAAGTATCCTCTATGTGATAGCGAACGTAACAGTAAAGATGATATATGGTCTGCTACGAAACATCGAAATACATAAACAGTGATGTCTGAAGACGATTATAAGCGAATGGCAACAGACCGTTATCTTGAACATGTACATTGATAAACTTGAAATCGAAGTCCTACAACACATATCTAAGGAATTCTTCGCACTAGAAGGTATAATAGAACTTGTAAAACTATCCAGGTTCTTTGTATAAAAGTATAATAATTTCAAAGAGTTAAACTACTTTTACGATTTGTTGACACAAGAAGGGGGAAAGGGTAATCGTTTTTTATCGATCGATGGGCTGAGGTAACCGCGTGCATATGTGAATCCTATGCGTGTGTGTGTATGTATATATATATATCGAAGTGATAAAGTGCAGCAAACAAAAGATATTTAACGGCACAATAAAAAACGGATCTCTCTTCTTTTTTCTTTGTCTTTTTCTTTTTTTTTTTTTTTTTTTTTTTTTTTTTTTTATCAGAAACAACGAGTTACGTATTGATAAGAAAAAGTTGATAATCGAAGCGATCGTTTAATTTTAATCAATTAATTTCGTGCAAGAAGTCCTTTGAGATCTTATCCGGTTAAATATGAAAGACTCGAAGGATATTTTCTGCGTTGGTTAGTTACACAATAACAGGAACGATTAAGAAGTCATTTCTGTTCTGATTCAGCGGCAATGGGAGTGAACGTTTAAGTACGTAAGTAGTTACTTATCTCAGCAAGATCAAAAATCGAAAGGGGGTTAATGCCAAACATATCAGATAATTCTCTTTTAGCGTCAGAATTATGATACTTGTGTAGTTAGCGTGAAATGTCGTCATTCAAAAAAGAAACGAGATATACTTCAAGGATGAATAATTGATAGTCATTAGTCATAGGACAAATTAAAGTTAATACGTCGAAATATTGGAATATGAATGTGTTATTAGAACACGTGTTTCATGAAAGTCGAATTCATTTCGAAGCTAACCTCATCGGTAATAATCGGTGTCTTGTCCATCGTATCGTTTATAGGACTCGGTGGTGAAGTAGGACTGGCACTAGGGCTGACTTGAAAGCCCTTTGACTCCTTGGCAGGTCTCTGAGGTGACACTCTGGCCGGAAAGCTCAGGGTCTTCGTCCACTGGGACAAACCGCGCACCATTTTCTCGCTTACTCCTCCACCACCTTCTTCTCCTTCCTCACCACCGTCCCTTCTCCAACAGGACGCTTTCACTTGGATCCCACCGATTTTTCCCGTATTTTTTTATCGAGCAGTCAGTCGAGACGCTCGATCACAAAATCGGCAAATTTCTGACCCTACGAATTCGAATTCCCGCCACGCACTCTGTCTTCTCTTCGAGCGTTTCAACGAGCATACAACTGAGAAAGAAAGAAAGAGAGAGAGAAAAGAGAGAAAGAGAGAGAAAGAAAATGAGTCCACGCGTTAGTGAAAATCTCAGCTAAGTCGTTGCTAACTCGAAGGTCTGCGCGTCACGGCTCTCTCTGACAGACTGAACGCAAGCTGCAGCGAGTAGTCGTCGTCGAGGAACAGCTGCGCCGGGCCCGCTGGACCGAGCGCTGTGATTGGTTAACTTAGGTGAGAGCGACGGGCCGAGTAGTTTGCCCCGTAGGAGAAACAAGGATAGACGATTTGGGGCCCGGCCAACGGCTTTGAACGAACGAGGACAGAGAAAGAAAGAGAGAAAGAGAATAATCCGCGGAACGGTTCTCTATCTCTTTCTCTCTCTCCTTTTCTCTGTCTATTTCTCTCTCACTCTTTCTTTTCTTGCATGCTACAAAATATGCACGATACCGGTGTAATTTTCATGATATCCTCTTCTCATACTGCCTCTCTCTCTCTCTCTCTCTCTCTCTTCCTCTTTTACACCCCTCGCGTGCGAATCTTTAGCTATCTAACGTCATCCTCTTTCTCCTCTCTTCTTCTTTCCATGATTCTCCATCGAGGTAGAAAAAGAGAGAGAGAAAGAAATAGGGAGAGAGAGAAGGAGAGGAAAAGACAAGGTGGAAGATGGTGAATGGACGAGAAGTGCGCGAGCGCATATGTATATACACACATGGAGAAGAGAATCTTCCAATGTGGCACAAGTCGATGTAACCGTGATTTTTCTTTGCTACCATCCACAGATCGTTCCTTCGAGATCACTGACTGACTTGACGATCTTTTTCCGTTACTTCTCTATCTCTATTTTGGAATAATCTATAAAAAATAATTATTATTTGATATAAAATGTTTGTGAATATAATTGAAAATATATCCCTTTTAATCTCGGTGTTTTCCAGTTTATACATGTAAAATATCGAAATTTCTAAACAGTCGTTAATTTTAAATCGAGAGTCGATACTTCTTCTAGCCTTTTACCCTTTCAAGTAGAAAAAGAATTCGTCTCTCTCTCTCTCTCTCTCTCTCTCTCTCTCCTTCTCTCTTTCTCTTTCTATCTCTATATCACATACACATTTACGACTAGCGAGAAAAGAGATTGAGAGAGAGAGAGAGAGAGACACGCGCGCGCGTATATAGTTTGATACGTATGTATGTTATACCCTATATGATCTCGTGTTGCCAACTGCAGATTCGAGTGTAAGTGGGGAGAGAAAACGACATTGTAGGGAGTTGTGTGAGACGACTTTGCACATTCACGGCGAGTTAAAGTGTATACGGACAGGATCTAGCCAGTTGCGGCCTTCTTCGACCTTCCCCCCACCAATCGGACCCAGACGGGCCCCTCTTCTCGATCCTGATGTAGCAAACAGCCAGCATCGGCAGCAGCCGGTGTGTCCAGTATCGAGCACATTTACTTGAGATTTCCTCCCATTCGAAGTCGATATTCGAACGCTATCGATCGCGTTTGAAAGCGAAGCCGAGTGAATATCGATTAGCTCTCGAATTAAATCGTTTTCTCTTTCTCTTTTTGAAAAACATTTTCTTCTTTTTCTTTTTTTTCTTTTTTTTTTTCTTTTCTTTTTTCGTACATTCTTCTTTTTTCTTTTCATCTACGATTTTGTTAGAACCCCAGACGCATAATCATAAAGATGAAAATAGAAATGCATTGGAAAATATGGAATTTGAAATTTTCTATTCTTCCTGGGCCACCACATGGTGTACTATTCAAATACCATCTGTTCCCATTCTCCAATTTCGTATCACGGACCGTAAGGCCCAAATTCTTTCAATGATCGACTGCATAAGATAAAAGTTTTCATTGTACCGTACTATTCTGTTACCGGGTATCGTCTATTTATAATAAACATTCAAAAGGAGAAGCTCGAATAGGACATCCCCTTTAAAATCGTCACGTTAATTACGATGACATGTGTTCGAGGCTACCCTTCCAAAAAGATTACGATCGAAAGCATATTGCTCGAATTATTCTCTAGATAGTGTTCAACGAAGTTGAATATGAAAAAAAAAAAAGAAAAGAAAAAAACAACAAGAAAAAAAATAGAGAGAAAGACGAGATTTTCTCTTTGTACTCAGAATAAAATCAGGTGTCCGGTAGAATGATATTAATTCACAATGGAAACCATTGTGTGTTCTCGCGGAAGAAAGAAATCCCTGAGATCTAAGGGTGTGTACCATTTGAGGTCCCTTTTTAAAAAGACAGGAGGGCAGCAGGTGTCCCTCGACCCAAATCACGTGCATATAACTCCCCAATCAAATTTTCTTCTTTTTGGTTTATAATAAAATCAACTCGAAGGCTCATTTCTGAGTGAAAGGCAACGATCGATATCAAAAAGAGAATACATCGTGCGAATTAAAATTGGAATCGAAGATGTTATTCGAGATAGATATATTCTACGATCTCTTGGCACTGTACACGATCCCTTGCTTTTATTCGCAATTCGATCGAGGTTAATCTTACAGTAGGATGTAAGTAAATTCTCTGTGGGTATATCTATATAATTGGTGCGTGACGTTTCTTGTTCATATCAAGGGACTACTCGATGAAATTGTTAACAATCAGGTTATTACGATCGTTCTGATTTTCTTTTATGATATATTTTATATCCCTTTGGAAAAAAGATTTTCATTGTTGAAAGATTTACTTATCGTCAAGTTTTAATATCGATCAATCGTGTTCGTTTTTCTTTTCTCTTTCATTTTTTTTTTGATTTTTTTTTGTTTTTTTTCTTTTTGTACTCGTTTCTTTTTCTTCTCTTTCTCAATAACAACGACGACACTCAATAACACATTATCCTTTCGTTGAAATCTAGCCTTGCAACAACACATATATGTCTATAGTCATCGAGCAAAGATCAAACATTTCAATTCAATTCGCATGCATATGTTCAATTTCGTAATAATCCTTAACCCGTCGTCTTATATCTTGGCATAACAAGGCCGTGATCTCACGAATCACTATACAAGGATCCATCGATCATGAATTAATTGTGATAATTCTATATTATTGCAACAACGATTAATACGATTTTTAATATAACTACGAGATGTTGTTTTGCGAAATATAGAGAATCGCATAATGCGAGCGATTTTTCTTTCATACTTGGGTCGAGGTTACGCGCGTAAAGGCCATATTTCTTTTGGATAATTCTTTGTAATAGGCCTTGCAATTAGTTTTGGGATCGAAAGAAACGCACGTGGTCGATCACACGTGTGTTCGTCTTTCTCGTCTTGGCAACGAGAGGAACTCTTTTTCAGAGAGGAGTAACAAAGAAAAAGTTTTCAAGGTGCCGATACGAGAAGCACCTGGAAAGAGAGAAGAACCGAAGGGACCGAGCATTCGGAGGATAGGAACACGCTCGAGGAATAATATTGGGAAGTTTGCAGCTGTCACAGCAGCTGCAGTTCTCTTCCCTTGCTCACAATCTGACCGGCAGCTTTTCTGCATCCTCCTCCTCCTCCTCCTCCTCCTCCTCCTCTTGCTCTTCATCTTCCTCAAACACCGACGAGCTCCAAAATTTTCAGGCAAATTTGAGGTTGGCCGAACGAAGGAAGAAAAAAAAAGAGAAACGGTAAGAAGAAGAAGAAGAAGAAGAAGAAGAAAGAAAGAAAGAAAAAAAAAACAGAGCATTTTCGTCTTTGCACCTTGCACCGATTATATTTTTTCATTTTATTTTCTATAAAACGTAGAACGATCGATAATAAAATCTTGCCTCGAGAAAGAATATTATTATTATCATTTACATATAATACACACGCACACATACACACACATATATTTATGTATGTATGTTTTCATTGAAAGCCACGGTTTTTCTTCTAATTAAGTAGAACGCGTGATTTAGAAGTTATCGAACGGCTTATAGAAAAAGCTAGTGGTTGTGCGAGTTAATGGACCGTTTCTCGAGAAGCTCTTGTCCCTTTCAGTCTGTCCCTCTTTCTCTCTCTTCCTCCCTCCCTTTTTCCCTCTTCCATCCCTACTTGATCATTTCCGTGACATCGAGAAACATGTGGGTGTAATATCTACGTTGCGCTAGGTTGGAACGCAGACATCATCATCGTCATCCCCTTTTCGAAAGCAACCAACCACTGAGACCATCCTCCGAGCCGGAATGCTCGCATCGGTCAGCTGCTCCTTGTGTAAAACTAAACTTCCTGTGCCACGTGTACATCTGCTCCTCTTACAGATATATATATATATATATATGTGTGTGCGTGTGTATGTGTCCTCTGTGTATGTATTTTGAGCAAGCGAAGGAGGAGAGAAAAAAGAAAAAAAAAGAAAGAATTATGCTGCGATGTATGTATTTAAGTTTCACGCATGTCTTCTTCTTATTCTTCTCGTTCGAGTTATGGCAGGCGAAAGGATGGTTACGCAGTTGCACTTGGAAGACAATGCGACGATAAGAACGCTTTCAGAGGCAAATGCAACGACCGGATGCAAGTTTGCGAAACTTGCCTGGGCAATTAACAAGGCTACTTTATATCTTTAATACTTCATTTTACCGTACATGTTCATTAAAAAAAAAAAAAAAAAGGAGAAAGAAAGGGAGAAAAAAATTCCACGGAATAAGAAATAAGAGATAAAACGTATTTATAATTATTTATTCAGATTAATATGTACCAACCCAAATGAAATTGGATCCACATGTGTTCAGCATTGAAGCGACTATTTTTATCTAAGGTATTAAAGAATATGTGTATGCATATATATATATATATATATATATATACATGTAAATGTATTAATCAAGCGTGCGTGAGTATCGTTTATAGAAGATTTCAATTAACTACATCGTCGTCATCGTCGAGCTGACAAAAGCGAAAACAAGGGACTAATTGCGAGCGATAGAAGGGGACCGGAAACTGAAACTATTACGACCGGTTTTCGAGCCAGTCGATTATCCCTAGTATATGCTTATGCTAGTTATAACTCTAATGATGAAAACATCTGCTGATACACGTGAAACTTCAATCTTCTTTAACCATCGAAAATATCAATGAATGACGAGAACGCTCGAATAAAAAGGATTGTTTATATTAAATGAAGAAAAAAAAAACAAAGAAACAAAGAAACAAAACAAAACAAAAAAAGAAAATATTTTATTATGCAAACTATCGCATTTAACACCGTTCCAAATACAAAATGAACACCTTGTATTATTTCTTATGTACGGTTGAGTAACCGCACGGTAGAGACAACATACGCATATATACATACATATTTACGTGGGTACGTCTCGGGCATTGGGAGACTCCTATCATAAAACGGCCGAGTGAAAGGATAAGCCGCGAGTTCATCTCGAGTCTCAACAAACCAATCTTCTCGAGCATTCAGACGTGCCATCGAAGAGTCATTTAAACGATTGGAATGCGCGCGCGAATGAGATTGATTTTTTTGTTCTCTTTTCTTTTATTTTATTTATTTATTTATTTCCCCCCCCCCACCCTTAGAACATGTAATCGCATTATCGATTAACTACGTTCTTCACGCGTTCCTATAAGGTTTCGAGCGAGTATGCGTGTAAGAGAGAAAGAGAGAGAAAAGGATAAAAAGAAAATGAGAAGACAAGTTTTCGACGAGTCGACGAAACTGGCAGAAAGAAACGATGATGGTAAGAAAGAAGAGTAGGTCGTGAAACATCTGTCTCTACGTTGTGCGTTCGCGCCAAGAGAGTTTGTTCGATATGCTTTCGCGAGCGAGCAAGCAAAATCAAACATAAGGCGAGGCTGTGTGCCAGAAGCTGCTACGTTTTAAATAGCTTATCCACGAAACTTAAAGAAGGCACGAGTCGACTCGAATTTCTTTTCTTCTTATTTTCGTTTTTCTTTCCCTCTCTTTTTTTTTCATCTTTTTTCATTCTCTGTTTTGTTCTTTTATCTTCTTCTTCTTTTTTTCTTTGTTCTTTTTTTTTTCTTTTCTTTCCGTAGAGATATGATGTATAACCGAATACTGACTCTGCACCTGCCTGCACGAAGAGACTCACCAAACATTGAAAAAATTGAACGTTTTTTTTCCTCTCAAGAGATATATTTATAAGAGGGAGTATCTAATCAAGATAGAAATAATAAAGAAATAATGAGATAGAAGAGGAGAGAGAGAGAGAGAGAGAAAAAAAAAGATAAAATTTAGATTCATTTATGTTTCGTAAAATGAAAGCAAGATAATCTTATAAATAATCTCACGATATATCTCGTGGGTTCTTATACTTATGCACAGTTATAACAAAAGAAAAAGCCGAAAGATGAAACCATATTTCCATGTGAAGCTCGTCTGTTTCTTTTTTTTTCTGTTCTTTCTTTCTTTTTTTTTTCCTCTTTCTTAACAGATAACATACACTATATATCGAGTGGTATTGGCCTGGAGCGAAGGAGTTACGGCATTAAAACCAGAGTAACCAGTGTAGATGGAAAAAGCTGCAGCTGTCAAGAGGCTGCCTGTGCCTGGCTCTCTACGGGCTTGCAGGCAGCTGCAAGGATAACTGCAAGCAAACGTGCTTAATGCATACGATCGACAATAATCGATCGTGATCCTTTAAATTCAGTCATCTTTTTACTCAATTATACGGATGATCGATAGGGAGATCGACTTTGCCAAAGAAACAATTCTAATCTTTCTTCTTTCATGATCCTTGAAATATCGAAATATTCAAATAATAAATATCATGTATGTTACGAACGTTGAAATGTAAAAGAAAAAAGTTCTGCAAAGTTTTACCAAAAGGAAAAACATTTACTTACGTTAGATCCCCATGCGGGGAGATGAGAGAAAGTTTGCTAGAAGTCGAGTTCGAGAAAAGATTGGCTTGCTCGTTGATACCGAGTGTCTCGATTGAACAACTAATCACATCCATATAAGAGATCCAATTTTATCCATCTATCTCGATCAAGTTTTTCATTGAAATTTCCTTCGATTTTTCTATTTTTTTTTTCTTTTTTTTTTTTCCTTTATGTATATTCACGATCAAAAAACTAATCGTCGAAAATTATAAAACGACGTATTTATCTAAATCTAATGTTTATATGAATATCGAGATCGATCCGCAATCGGACACAGGGTAGATGAATACTATTGAAATACAAGAGTTTAACGCGTGGCACGTGTGAACGGCCACGGAGGCGAGCAACAGGAAAATGTCAATTCAGGAAGATACTTTTCTCTACATTCCTATCTTTCGTAGAGTATATAAACTATTTCGATTTCTATATAACTACCAACAATTAAGCTTGAAGTATCATTCGACGAGTTAGTTGGCCTCGTTTCAGGTGAATTCGCTCGAGAATTCGCCTTTTTCTTTCTTCTTCTTCTTCTCCTCCTTCTTCCTCTTCTTCTTCTTCTACAGGTCCAACAACATTTTTCTTTGGAAATCCTAGGACTATATAATACGTTTGTATTAAATCGAGATTCGACATTCCGTCGTTTCACGACGATTAAATTTTCTCCCTTTTTCTTTCGACCGAAAGAATTTTATCGATTCTGGTATCGGATTTCTGTGTGTGTGTATGTGTGTGTGTGTGTGTATGTGCATCTACGTATGTATATTCTATCCTTTCGCAATAATTCTTTTATAATTCGTATGCGAGGTAGAAACGTCCGAGCGTGCAGGAAACAAATGGCAAGCAAATGTCAGACGCTGAGGAAGTCTCTTCTTTTTCTTCTTCTTCTTCTTCTTCTCCTTTACCATTTTATTGTTTCTCAACTTTTCTCAAGAATTTTTTATCATTTCTTTTTTTTTTTTTTTGGGATTTCCTTCTGTCCTTTTTTTTTTCGTTTTCTTTATGTTTTTCTCTTAAATTTCTACTCGATAGATTCATTACGTTTTACGTTGACTTTTGGAAGAAAAAAAAATCAATGTCGAATAAAGAAAAAAAAAAAAGAAAGATCTCTATAAATATCGTTAATATAATGTTAAAAAAAAAAATTCGTAGAAGTTATTGCCCGCGTATTTTCAAATTATAATTAAATTAAAAAAGACGTATGAAAGTCGGAAGGAAATGTCAAATTTTTTTTCTCCAAAAATCTATAGAAAGATAATGTATTATTTTGGTCTTTGCTCGGCCACAGAATCCTTTTGCTTCTTTATGTATTTACCAGCAAATTCCAAAGGTACGTAAGCAATGTATTAAGAGACAGAAATAGATAAACGGCAATAACGTGGCCGGTCGCGTTTATGGTAGCCGCCGCGAGGCTGCTTTGCTAGATAGGTAAACAGTTTCGTGGGCGTGTGTAAATAGGTACGTGTGACCTCTTTAGGCTTTCCTTTTATAGAATCTTACTAGTCTTGAATTTAATAATAACAATAATAATAACAATAACAATAATAATAATAATAATAATAATAATAATAATAATAACCATCAGCATTATCTGCATCGTAAAGAACGAAGTTCAAAAGTCGTCTCATACGATTCTTATGCATCATATGTACAATACAACAAACTTGAGATAACACCAGCTACCATTAATTGCATTCAATGTTTGCCCTCCTTCCCGTTATCATTTTTAATTATGTTTGCTACTTGTAACGAAATGAAGGTAACGAACGATATTATCAAAGAATTATTCCGCAATGATCTTAAGGTTATCGCATTTACAATCTAAAGTCACAAATGCAGAACTATTTCAAAAAAGATGTTTCAAATATAGCCAGAAATAAAAATAAATACAAAGTTCTTATCTATTCTGATTCATCTTACATTAGTCTGACAACATCTCTCTCTCTCTCTCTTTCTCTCTCTCCTTAGTAAACTTGAGAATTTTATTTATAATTTTATCTACGGTCTACGCGTTCGTATCGATTAGTATCCAGTATCGGTATCCAAATTCAAAAGAAGAAAACTTTAACGTGCGTGTACGCGAAGACTGATCCGGTGTTCGCTTACACATTTACAAGGTGTCCATTGATCCGATAGCTTTTCTACCTGACACGAATATCAATCCATTGAATTTGTGTTTCAAATCGAATCGTTCGACTCCTTGGAGATTTTCTGATTATAGTATTCCTCTCTCTTTCTCTCTCTCTGCTATCGTTGACAATGTAATCGAAAGTTTTCTTGGTGAAAATATTTAACGGATAAATATTTAACGCGATGATAAAACTTCAAAATGTGAATAACGAATTATGAAAAGATTGACTTACCGAACAAGATAATTGGATGTCATCCTAAAGCGAGTCTATGATTTTCGTTGTGAGGAAACACAGAAAAGTTGAATGATAAATATCTCGTTTGATAATAAATCCAACGTTCTCCAATTCCTACAAACACAACAACAACAACAACAACAACAACAACAACAATAATAATAATAATAAAAATCCGTAGATTCAATATATCTCAACAATGCAATCATGATTGCTTAGATATTAGCTTAAGTATCAACGAATAAACTTACCACTTGTCGAGGAAAATTGTCGTTGGATCACAACCTTACTGTTATCGAACGTCAGGAAAGCAACACAAAGTATGTATATGTACCGAGGCTCTCGAGAGGCGCAACAAGTGGTTTAAGCCAATAAAAGCACGTTTGGAATCCACGATTGCATGTGCCCGAATATATTTAGAAGTAAAGAAAGCGAGTGAGAGAAAGAGAGAGAGAGAGAGAGAGATAAGATATTACCAAAATATATATGATTGATCTTTGAATAGTACGAGTAGTTATCTTCGACGAAAGGGAAAACTCGCGATGAGTGACCGAAGTCAACGGTAGCTTAACATTGACTGCGTTGAGTTTCCAGAGAGATAGAGAGGTGTAGAATAAGTTAAGCCTCTGTTGCACACAAGGAGAGTCACACACTTGTTGTTGGTAGGCGATACGAGAACTGATATACCACGAAACTAAAGTCTCTACTCCCTAGGACATAGCTTAGCCACGTTCGCCTTGTGCCTTGCACCTAGGTGCTTTTACGAAGGCAGGTGGTGTGGTAGCGATATGGTGACGGTGTGCCGGCGGACAGGTGAACGTGGCGGAACACAGGAAGTGCCAGAGACAGAGAGGGATCGTGGGATATATCAGAGTGGGGAGGATATACGTAGGAAGAAGACCGACAAGGAGACAAAAGGTAACGAGAGGAAAGAGGAAAACAGGATGACGAGAGAAAAGTATGTAAGTATGTATGTCGTAGGTAAAAGGGGATTGAAATTCCTTTCTGATCTTTTTTTTTCTTTTTTTTTTTTTTTTCTTTTTTTTCTTTTTTTTTTTCTTTTTTTTCCCCCATTTTAAACGACCATCGCTATTTCTATCGATATTTTTTCAAAAGAGGTAATACTTCTGAGGCTTCTTCTTCCTGAAATGGAGATTGACCGGATGAAGGAGGACAGGATATAAAGAATCGAGGCTGAGTGTTGAAAGAAAATGATCTTGCTAAGTATACGGATAAGTACTACGCGGTCTTTAGTTGGTCCCTAGCCAGTCTCCATTATTTTTCTTTCTTCTTGTTGTACAACGATTCTCTTAACAAGTGTATGCCCGTGTACCTGTATATGTCTGATCTTGCTACATTACCAATAACTCCCTAGTGTTATGGAGTAGCAACTAGTGTCTGTAATAAAGAGAAATCAAGTTAATTCCACGATGCGTGAACATTCGTGGAATTCTAAGTTTGGAATACGTCCAGGTAATACACGCAAACGGCATGCGAATTGTCGAATACCATTTACGGCTACTACCTTATTATTATTATCAGGTAAATCAGTTAAATTGTAAAGCTTTATGCGGAATTTTAAATTAAATGCATTCGTAAGCTAAAAGTCGATCGGCGAATTGGTTCTGTAAATTCTAACGTTGTTACGTAATCTCTTCTAAATTCGATTTATCGATCGATCGTCGTACATCAGCTCGCCTTTATGTCGTTCTATGGACTCTGAGAAATAGCTTGCACCTTTCTATTGCGTCTCTGTATGCACAACGCCGTCGTAGTCCTCGATCCACGAGTGTGCACGCAAGTGCAGCACCACCATCCGTGGAGTCGTTGACTGCAAAACGAGAGGGTCTGAACGAACGGAGGGGATAACGACGCTGGATTCGAACCTCTAACTTCTCGTCTCGATCGTTTATTCGCGCTATTCCAGTGCATTCAACTATATCCTCTTCATTTCAATTTCTATATTCAATTTCAATCTAATGCCTACCTAAAAGAAATTGAAATTGAATTAATCAATTCGTTCATTTTCTCGATTCATATTTCGATCTTTTTCTTAAATTATTTTCTTTCTTTCTTTTTTTTTTTTTGTTTGTTTTTTATTGTTCTTTTTACAGACAACATTATGAATTTTTTCAAAGAATTTATCGACGACACGCTTTGTTTCAATTTTATCAATTTTATACAAGAGTTTTAATTATTTTTCTGTAAAAAAAAAACATATTTCTCAGGATAAGGTAAATATATACTTTTTGTAACAAAGCATTGCATATACCTGTATGCATTTATGCACACAAGTTTTCCATACGTACACGCGTGCATCAATATAGTCTATCATCAGGGGGAATATCCTTTTGTAGTTCATTGCCTTTCTAGATGGCGCTTTCAAACTTATCAACAGGCTCCAAAAATTTTGATTGATTTTTATCTATTTATTTTGTTTGTTTTATTTTTTTTAATCAATCAGCAAATCAATCGCACACTTCGAAATATCTCCTCGATCATTTTCTTCAGATATTTATACAGATACAAATTTTACGAAGAAATTTAAAAGGATGTCTCTTCTTACGAGACGATTTTGTTTCAATTGCCTCGAGCGATTCCAATCGTAAATTCCTATCGAGAGTTAAGTACAGTTGATCGTTTAAATTATCTCCTGTTTTAGTTGATCGACTGTTACGTCGTAAGATTTCAGAGAAACCTTTTTCCTTCAAGGACATATTAAAGATCTTCGATAATTTATCAATCCCATTGAATTTTTTGATAATCTTACAAATGGTAAACATATTATCGCCCAAGTTTGAAGCACCAACATCATTCGTTGGAAAATCTTGACAAATGATTACATTATTAATGGAAGGAAGAATTTCGTCGGTTTTCGGTACTTCGTTAATGATAAAAGGCGACCTCTTCACTTTACGTAGAGCACTATATGTTGTTTTATCATTCGAGTAACGATCAATAAATGATATAGTTTGATCGTCCAAAATGCAATAACCTAAACGTTTCAATATTTTCCCAAAAACGTCGTATTTAAAATTTCTTTCTTTCGTCGTAAGATTGTTACTTCTTTTTCGTTCGGTCTGAGTTCCCTGACACACGAGCATTCGTTGATTGTTTTCGAATTTTTCCACGTGTTCCCGCACATCCGATGTCTGCGGATAGGAGTATATGGTGAATTCCATGGCTATTATAAAAATTTTTAATATTACATAATGTAAATATCGTAACTCACTGGAATTATCTGACGATAAATTTGATATCTTTTTATTTCCCGACAATATTTGCTCATTTTCACTCTTTTTGTTCTTATTTATATTACCTAGTTTGGAATTGTGATTTATCTTCTGCTTCTCGGATTTCGTAGGATCTTGAACTTTTGAAATATTATTAGTAATCTTATCGGATATAGTTGAAACGTGAGATGTTTTCTTATTGTTCAAAACAGATCTCGAATGAGAAGATTTAAAATTTCTTGACTGAGTTTTAACAGAATTTTCTGATATATTTGGAAGTCCCTTGTTACTGGTACAATACAATTTTGCGAAAGAATTGTTAATAGTATTTAAGGATGCTTTTTTAGAAGCTGCAACATTTTTTACACATTGCTCTTTCATATTCATCATCGACGAACGAATATCTCTGAAGTTGCGATCATTTTTTTTAACATTTGAATTCTCATTTATATCAGAAAATGTTAAGAGAGATGGAAAACGAATAGTCGATGATGATTCTCTTTCTAAATTTGAACTTTCTATAGGTTTTTCAATATGCATGCGATTGTTCACACGCGGTAATAAGTTTCGAAGTTCTGCCTGCAATCTTTCAATTTCCTGAATACGTACCAATATATTGCGTATCTCATTTTCGTTCATTATAATTTACAGGTAATATATTTTCGAATTATATCATTATTCATGCGATTAGAAAATTTTGTAAAAAAGATAACCTGCAAATTTTACGATCACTCACAAAAATCCATATTTATTTTTTTAATAATTTCTTTTTGTTTTTCCTCCCCCTCCCCCTTTTTATAGCAGGTATTATTATCGGCTAATTTCAGTCGAATCAAATTAAATACTCAATTTTTAATGAATAATGTGATATAATAATGTGATTACAAATAAAATAAACAATAATAGAAATTCAAAAATATATTACATTAATTAATTTACGTAGGTATTAAGAAATAACGAGTGTAATAAACAATATAATAATAAATAATTTAATAACGAATAAACATCTACTATTTTATAAAAACGTGCTTGCAAACGTAAACTCGTGAATACCGATAAATGTTATTTTTTTATTAGCAATGCAGGACCAAATTTTATTTAGTGAAATATATGGCAACGAGGAAGATAATATATATGTTAGATCAAAAGGTGAATTACTTTTTTTTATTAAAAATATCTTTAATAAATAACATTTATCATATCTCTAATATATAATTGTCGTTATGAGGTTAGATCGCTCGTCGATAATTAATTTACAAACTGGCTCGAAAAATGCAAAGTCCTTATTATCTGGAATTTTGTCGATTATCAAAGACGTTTTTTTACCTCAAGGATTTCCTGACAGTGTTCATCCTGATTACATTCCTTATCAAATATGGGATACAGTGCAGGTTAGAATTCTTATGTAAAAGAATAGACGAGCGAACGAGTTCTATTTGTCGTTATATGTTAAAAAAAATAGAATTTAATTTAAGAAAAATTGTAATAATGTAATAGGCATTTGCAAGTACCATAATGGGTACTCTCACAACTCATTCAATTATGCAAGGAGTAGGTGTTGGAGAATCTACTGCGACACCTTTAGCTGCAGCAATAACTTGGATTTTAAAAGATGGAACTGGTATGGTCGGGCGCATAATTTTTGCATGGTGGAACGGGTAAGCTATATAAATGTTTTACTATGTGAACCGCTCATAAAAACTGTTAATAAGTTTTATCTTGTAATCGATGTCAACATGACAAATCTTAAATATTATCAATCTACGATGTAACTTGTTCTTTCTATTATAAACATTCTGATCTATTAGGACTGACCTAGATGGACAATGTAAAAAATGGAGATTGTTTGCGGATATTCTTAATGATGTGGCAATGGGCATGGAATTACTAATACCTTATTTCTCAGCTCATTCAATGGCCATATTGTGTGCTTCAACCGCAATGAAGTCTATTGTTGGTGTAGCCGGTGGTGCAACCAGAGCTGCATTAACGCAACATCAGGTTTCCTGCAAAATATTAATTCATTTCCCATATAAATATCATTGAAAGACATTATTTGTAATTAACATGTTATATTTTATGTTAGGCCTTACAAAACAATTTGGCAGATGTATCAGCTAAAGATGGAAGTCAAGAAACCTGTGTTAATCTTGTTGCATCTTTTGTTGGAATTTTCATACTGTCGTACATTTATGATGGACGGTAATTTTATTTGATTTACTCTTCTACAAATTATTTATTACTGTCTTGTATGAATTTTTTCTTTACAGATATTTATTAGAATTATATGTCTTCTTGGTGGCAGTGCATTTATATGCCAATTATTCAGCAGTTAAAGCTTTACGGTTAAACACATTAAATGAAGATCGTCTTGCTTTGTTAGTTAAATATTATCTTATTCATGAAACCGTTCTTGATGCGGCAGAAATTAATAAAAAAGAATCTGTTTTCCTTTTGGGGAAACCTAGTAAGAATAATTCCCATTTTTATTCTAATAATATCTAAGACAATTTCAATACCAATTTTATTCTTTTTTCTAGCAAAAGATATATGTGGTTTTCATATAAAATTAGGAGTATCACTTTCATATATTTTTAAAAGAAATGGCAATGATACATTGGAAGATTTTCTAAAAGATTTTCAACATAAAGAATATTTAATATTTGTGGATATTAAGGAAAAAATTATTTTTGTGGTACTAAAAAAAAACATAGAACAGAATGAAATATTAAAAGCATACTTTCATGCTTGCCTTTGTGGCATATTAACAAGTATGACACAACGACTTCCAATTGTAAGTTTTTTGATTGTTCACAATTGTCCTTTCATTTTTTCTCGTTAACTTATTGACTACTTATATGTTTTCTTTTAGGAATTGTTATTAACGACTGAAACATATAAACCTTCATTTCCTTTAATACGTATATATCTTCTTTCTAAGAAATATCATAGCTCTTTTTCATCCATAGAAACTACCTTTTATGATACAAATACTATTATTGAAAAAGAGTATCAAACCTTTGTAAAACATTTAGATGACAAAGGTACGTAATGATAATGAATAGTAGAATAATGTTTATATAAAATACATTGAATATTTTTAGGATGGAATTTGAAGATTAATCTTTTACCCATGAATTCATGGAGATGTGTATGGAAAAAATCCCAAAAATAAAGATCAAGAGAGAGAGAGAGAGAGAGAGAGAGAGAGAGAGAGAGAGAGAGAGAGAGAGAGAGAGAGAGAGAGAGAGAGAGAGAGAGAGAAAGAGAGAAAGAGAGAGAGTAAACTTTATTTCTAGCATTTTATAAAAATATGACACACCTTTTTTTAAATCTGTACAGTAGTCTTAGAAAATTTGAACTAAGACTCTTGTTCCTGTTTTGGACCAGTTTGTGATAAATGTTTCACTATATCGACCCAATCCCACCCTCGTGGTCTCTCTCCTTTTCCATCTGCTTTATTCCATTGTCTACGTTTTTGAGCTTTGCTTAGTTGTTCTTTCTTTGGCCTTTTTACAGCTTCTTCCGCCTTTACGATAAAGAAATTTTTAATTCTTATATATTTCTTTGTTACAATGTAACAGAATATTAAATACATATTTTTTTCATTTACCTGTTGATTCTCATTTGATATTTTAAGTTTACTGGTTTGTGAATTTATTTCTGCAATAGAATCTGGTTGCATAGATAATAATTCTGTAAGATGCTCTTGAACATACTGGAACAACGTATATGTCATGGCACTACCTAACCATTGATCTGCTTCTGCTTCTAATTGTTTCACTAATTCATCCTTTACTTCTTGCACACTATATATTCCAATTATTTACCTTTAATCAAAACCATAGAATACGAAAAAAATCAGATGACCTTGTGAACTCACTTACATGTGCTTATTGTAAAATGTATTCATATTGATGTTTGGCCTTTCAGATGGATATGTCGCACTCCATGAAATTTCCAATAGGAATGACTTCATGTCATTATCTTCTCCATACTGTATATAAAAATATATTTAGACGCAAATATTTACATTAAAAGTGACGTTTTTTCTTTTTCAAATTTTACAAAAAAAAAAAAAAAAAAAAAGACTTGGCAAAATGTCAAAAGTTGCTGGGGTCTAATTTTACATAAATTAATTCTCGAATTTTTAATTAATATTCACAAGAGTACAAATAATGATGATTCGACGTAAGAAAAATTTGTTTTTCAAGTGAAAATGAAACTTTTGCAATATATCAAACCTTGTATTGGAAGGTAGTCGGTGTTAACTGATTAAATGCTGGATCACCCTCATAAATAGAAAGTAGCACTTCTCTTTCTTCCTCTTGTAATTCGACATCACTCATTTCCTTATTCCAACTATTTTATTCTTTATAATTTTACACGTTTATATCTCAAGGTCCGATCATGCGTTTTAGTTAGGTTAGAAATAAACTTCAACAAAGCTCCACTTAATATTATAGATGGCGTCATTCTAAAAAGATATATATAGAATGAAACCTGTGCGACTTCAGCGATAGGTATGGAGAATATATGAATTACAAGGTACAAGCGGAGAATAATGTTGCATACTACTGTTGTATATTATATAGTAATAGTAATAATGTAAAAATATTAATAAATATAAAAAGAAATTTTTCTCCTGTAGGAAAAAATTATGAAGAAATGCAGTGTTGGGAATTTTATTTCATAGATAGTGTGGAAACGAACTAATGATTTGATTTTTATAAAAATAATGTATAATATACAAGTATATATTCACTATTTATTATTTTTGACCAAATAATTAATTTTAATTACAAAATATATATACTTTATATACATTTCTTCATAGTATTTGATTGTGCTAATTATCTCAGATTGAAGTTGTTTTTTTCAGCATGAAAAAGTGTTTTTATGTGGCAATAAATAAAAGAATAATATTTTCTTCACGTAGTAATATTTATCAATGTTATGTATCAAAAATATTATTTATTTAAAAGTTCTATTGAATAATTTCGTTGCAAAGGATCGACATGTTTACAAGCAAGAATGGAGTATGCAAATTGAAATATGCAAAGGCGCAATTAACGCTTAATTAGATTCATTCTAGAAGGAAGTTACGAAGTGCAAAACGAATATATCAAGCTTAGCACAGCTGCATTCTATATAACCAGCTGTAAATCACTCAGCTGATCGATGACGCGCAGTCGCAAATACAATTCAATACAAAAAAAAAAAAAGAAAAAATATAAAAACATATAAAAGAAAAAAGAGAGAACAAAAAATCAACTTTTTCAGGTGGTCAATTGTTTCTCATACGTTTTCTTGCGATCACTTCTACATTGGCTTTACTTCGTGAAATATAGGATAGAATTTGACGATTAGAAAATCTATTTGAAAGAGATTGAAAAATATTTCGTAGATAAGATTTATATAGATTCGTCCGTTCCATATATGGTTAGATTTCCGACGAAAATGTTTGTATCATTAACTTGATACAATTAAGAAAGAAATAATCGTGTTCGATAGGGAATATTACGAGTAGAACGGACAAAAGCAGTGAAGAAGTAACAAAAGATTCGTGAAAAGAGAAGTTGAAGGAAATAGAAAAAAATTTCTCTTGTAGACGCCATTATTGCTTCCCTCTGTCGTAACCAACGTAAAACGTATAGCCACGTACTTACGTGATTGTGTACAAACTCTGTTATCATTAAATGAAATTAAAGAAATATCTGAAAGAATTATTTGATTAGTCTGTATGTAAGAGGCACGTAGAAAACGTTAATCATAAATTTGTTGCACCAATTTATTTTTAAGTGTTTATTTTTTGAGAATTTAACAACAAACTTCGTAAACCTAACCGTTCGTTCTTTAGGAAAGTTATGAAGCAACGATAAAATGTATGTATTTAAACCGTTTGTCATTGTGAGGCATCGTTCACGATGCCTAGAACGGCCAAAAGCAAGAAGCGGACACAGAATAGTGTGCGATCATAAAAATCTTTATTCCTATGGCGGATTTAATCCATGCATCGCCGATTATGATCGTGACATGAGAAATGATCGCATATGGCTCTCTAGTAAACCACTTTTCAAAGAAATTTGGAAATTTAATTTGGCCACGAATCAATGGAAACGTTTACCTGGACGAGAAAATTTGCCAGATGAACTAGCATCTAACGCAGTGATTTTGAAGGGCAATGCATTGATAGTTTATGGTGGAACAGGTGTACCCTTTGGTGACAGCTGTAACAATCAGCTTTATGTGTGTAACGTCGATGATGGCAAAACAACAATAGTGCCAGCAAAGGGTGACATGCCAAAACCACAATACGGACAAGCTCTGCTATTTCACGAGCCATATCTTTATACCATTGGTGGTACAACTGGCCGAGAATATACTTGCGATATTCACAGATTTAATTTTAAAACTGGACTGTGGGAAAAGGTATACATTTGTACTGGAAAGGATTTGTCAGAACCAATGGGACGATATAGGCACGAGCTTGGATTTGATGGAAAGAATATTTATGTTATAGGTGGAGGTACTGATTCTGAAGCTTTTAGTTTAGCAGTAAGTATTTTTTGTGCGAATACTATAATACTTCTTACAAATACTAAATATATATACATATATATATATATATATACATGGATTTTAAGGAAATACCAACTTTTAATCTGGAAAAAAGAAAATGGACAATTTTAAATACTCAGGGAGATAGCGAAGATAATACAATTCCTGCTCCTAGACGCTGTCATGGCATAGTTCAATATATGGATGAAAAGACAGGTGTAACTTATGTTGTTATTTCTGGAGGTACGAATGGTACTTTTGTCTTTTCCGATGTTTGGAGACTAGACTTGAGTGAAATGCAATGGACTTGCCTAAGAAAATGTAAACTTCCACGTCCCTTATTCTTTCATTCTGCTGCTTTAACTCCTCAAGGTCGTATGTATACTTTTGGTGGTGTAAGCATGCATCGCGATAAAGTAAGTATCATTTTATCATTCTTGTACAAATAATATTATATTAAAGCTTTTGTCATTTTATCATTTTCTAAAATGTTTATTGCAGGCAGCAAGAACAGATGCTATTTATGCTGTTTGGTTAACAATACCTAAATTATCTGAAATATGTTGGCTAGCATTAAATTATTACATTTCGGATTTGAGAAAAAGATCACCCGATAAATTGCTTCACATTGGTATACCATTAAAATTCGTTCGAAGACTCGATCCTTGCATATAATCTACTTTACACTAACATTTGAGATACTTGTCATATATTTTGGAACATTGGTCATTATTATCGGTTATTTATCGCATGAACATTATAATTATCTTTCAATATTGCTAGAATTTATTCATAGTATTTTTTAAAAGCTTCTTTTAAAGTATTTTTTAAAAAGTAATTTTTTAAGCTTTTTTTTTTAAATCAGTACAATAACGTAAGAAAACAATAACCAATTTTTATATCTAACGGAATTAATCAAGTTCTAAATTTTATTAACATTATTTTATTATGGAATTATTTGATATACGAAAAAAAAAAATTTTTACCTTGCTAGAGAAAGAATATTAAAAATTATTAGAAGTATCATGTTCATGAATTTTTACATTATAAAATTTCTATAGTATCATAAAGTAATTGTATATAAAAAAGATGGATTATAATTGAAAATTTATAAAATATTTACATCGATGATTAATACTTGTTCCAAACTCTATTTTAAAAGTTAATAATGTTATTCCAAACAAATGATATTCTCTTATATACTAAGTTATAAAATATTTCAAAAATACTTGAACATAGAATTGTATATTTTAAAAATTAAGATCAGATACTATAGGAGAAAAGTATAAAAAATTGTAATTAAAAATCTGCAGATTTGTTGTATTCATTTTTTTTTTTTTTTTTTTTTTTTTTTTTATTAGAGGTTAAATAATGAAATAGTAAATGAGTTAAATAGTTATTTAAATAATTTAATAATAAGAATTCTTTCATTAACAATCTGCGTATATAAATAATGATTATCTGCAAATAAATTGCAGTAAAAGAAGTTAATCTATTGTGAAAATTTTACACTTGAAAGTAATGAAAACGTATAAGTGTCTACGTTCATTATTGCAGTTATGCAACTATACTTCGTAAATAAAATTATGCTTGTCGTACAACGTTCGTGTATTGATTCAATGAGTTTAACGAGAAAATAACAATAAAAAAATAAATTAATTTGTATCAACGCATGCGAAAATGTGTGAATAAAATCGGGAAGAAAAGAAAAGAACGCAATAACGACGTAATATCTTTGTATATTTCGACGTTGCTCGTGCGCATCGATCTTGCGCATATATAACGAGCTCGACCAAATTCGTACTTACTCGGCTCGAGTCGGCCAAGTCAGAGATGCACGAGTCTTTCGGAGTGGGATGGTTAGTGTTTCGTGACTTACTTCATTTCCAGCCGAGTGTTCGTTCTTTCAACTCTGTTGAAGGACAACGGCATCGTTCGTCATACCTTTAACATCTCCGTCTCTCGAAAAATTCACTCTCATGCGTTCAGTGTATCCAAACGCAGTACATCTCGAAATGTACAACGAAGTGTTAATGTAGTATTTATTGCAAGTCGTGGAACGACGGAGACGCCATTCACGTGCTGGACGTCGCGAAACCGATATCGGACATAGGAAGTGCTACAACAGCTCGCGTGGCTCGAGGTACTTGCAAGGAGAATAATTCGAATAAGAATTTTTTTTTCCTTTCGATATGGAACAGAAGAGGCTGTACAAGGTGGTGCTCACAGGAGGTAAATAGCTTTACATTATAGTCCTATCGTCCTTTCTTTTATCAACCATTTGTCTCTTTACCGATCTTAACTTACATTTTTCTACATCTCGTTAAATGTTTTCAATAAAACGAAAGAGTTCTAAGATCTTTTCTTTAAAAGTCATCGTTATTAAATAGATAGATCTCCAATGAAAATCTTAAAGCGGATAATATTCTCTCTTTCTATCTTTCTCTCTCTCTCTCTCTCTCTCTCTCTCTCTCTCTCTCTCTCTCTCTCTCTCTCGCGTTCTCGAGGGACCACGTGCTCGTCTTTTCACCTACGACCGATGTTATATCCGCTCTTGCATAATAGTTCTCTTTTTTCTTCTACCTTAGTTATATTCTTTTCACGTGAAAACTATTATCATTACAATTTTTATTTGTACTTTTTTTTTCTTTTTTTTTTTTTTAATTTTTTTTTCCCCTTTCCAAAACACGATTACAAATAATCAAACGGGCTTATCTTCCTTTTTCCGCCATCCTCTCGTACGTGAACGCATTTTTAATTGGTCCGTTTTTAGTACGCAGCGAATACACAACGAATAAACTTTGTCGTCGATGTATTTTCTCTTTCTTTCTTTTTTTTTTTTTTTTTTCTTTTTTTATTTTTTTATTTTCCTTTTACCGTTGTTCGATGCAACATTTATTGTACGTTATTCATTCTGTCAGACTAGGTTCCTCTTTCTATAGAGAAAGAGAGGAGAGAATATCGATCGAATTTGTAGCGAACGATACAGGTAGAAAGATGACAGCAACAACGATGCCGCGTAATACGACAATGGTACTTCCATCATAAAATCCCGCGTGCTTTTAAATTATTCGAAAGTCTTTTTCAACAGAAGAATAAACAAGGATGAGGGAAAAAAGGACGTTTGAAAGAGAAGAGGAGAGAGAAAGAGAGAGAGAGAAAGAAAGAAAGAAAGAAAGAAAGAAATATTTTTTCGTCGACAACATACTCGTAAAAAAGTCGATCCAAGAAAGATGAAAGGGATAATCTGTCAGTAGTTAAATGAAAAACCATCTTTTCTCTTTCACTTTTAATCCTTTACTTGTAACATTTCATTTTATTTGAGGAAAATAATTTGTTTGTTTATTCTTACTTTCACGTCAAACTGCACACATTTCAGAATGAAATAAAATTAGAAAAAAGAAAATCCATGACAACATCTATATCAAAGAAATATTATTAATTCTAATAGATATCTCCAAAATCGTATATTTTTTAAAGATATTTTTGGAAAACTTATAAGGTACTATGAGGGTTAATAATCATTTTTTTCGGTTCACTTTGATGCCTATTAATAGATTTTTTTCTTTTTGGAATAAAGTTTAGCAACGCAAAAAAGAAAAAAATCGGCTTAACAGAAAGACAAGCGGATTTCATAATTTAATAAACTATACTCTATAGCACGTACAAGGACGCGTGACGTGCATCTTCAATTATGATAATACTCACGCATGACATTGTAATTAGATAAGATTTCGAAGTAGAAAATTTCATTAGGAATCTTTAGAATGGCTTTAAATTGAGAATGTGATATCTAAACTTTGATTGGAAATTAAAAAAAAAAGAAATTTGTATTAAACGTTTGTTGTATTTCGCACGTATTGAAATGTGTAAATATATTTGTGATCATATCGATGGAACACGAAACAATCACGAAACTAGTTTACTTTAGCGAATAATCGATTATGCAGAGGTAGATACTTACCGTGACTGAACATTAAATGACGTGATCGTCTTATCCCTCACGCAAATCACTTTGATTATTTAATTCCTTCGATTTTTTTTTTTTTTTTTTTTTTTGTTTATTATGCTCACGAGATAGTACGATATCATGATGTAGTTGCATTAAATATGATTTACCATCAAACATTTAAAAGACATAAATAGGTAATAAATTTTTTGACAGGATCATGACTTTGTCCAGGTTTATATATATTTATAGCTAACTTAAAAGTTACGCGAAGGATTTATACAGGAATTCAGAACATCGTCGTCATTCCTTTTAAAAGAATTATTCTATGTACGTCGAGTTTAAAAAAGAAAAAGAAAAAAAAAGAAAAAAGAAAAATAAATGCGACGAACAATTTCAAATCATGTTAACGATAGATTAGTTCACGTGCATAGTAGTAATAATACTAGTTTACGACAATTCAAACCAGTTACGAATGAATAAAAGTTTAGATTGTAATTTGACGAGAAGAACCACTTCTCACGAACTTGCGTCACCTTTCAATAACATTAAGATTTCAACTCAATGAACATTATACATTTGTCCTTAGACTATTATATTGTTGAAGTGTAAATGCATATGACCTTTGAGAAAATATACCATTGATAATATTATCATTTTTAAATAACAAATAATCATACTTAAAACAACATTTTGCGTTTAATATTTCATAAGCGTTTCCTTTTTTCTGTATATGTAAATATAAACATAGCACGAAGAATGGTAATTATTGTCTTAAGCTATTGTGTTACATATCGATCTATTGTAGCTTGCGAATAGTAACAATGACAACGGAAAAAGAGAGAGAGAGAGGATCATATTTATAGAGCAGGCTCGTAAAATACAATGGAAAATTTTTCATTTCATCAAGTGTTAGGTACATTATTATACGAAGGTAACAGAATAGAAAAGATGCCCTTCTGGAATTTTTAAACAAACGATGACCAATGCTCGGGGACACTAGTGGTTAATAGTTTGTTGGATTTCGAGCGATTCTAAAAGCGCATTGCAAACATATTATCATAATCCATATAACATTGTGTGCTTTATATCTATTATTCATCATTTTCCATGAAATTTTTTATATATTGAATCGATCGACAAAAATATAATCAAATATTCAAACGTGTCGTTGTAACACGTAAGGAAGTTTTCTATCGATATCGCTTATAATGAATGTGCTCGCATTTAATTGCATTTGGCCACGATGTGTTCTTCGTCTTACGTCGTTTCTATTTATGCCAAGCGAGTTCAATAGCCACGTGGTGAAAATCAAGGTTCTTCGTCATTGCTTTTATAACGCGATTCGATGATTTCATTCTCGATTGAAAGTATCGTTCGTTATATATACTAATCGATTAACATTTTTATTTTTACAGGACCGTGCGGCGGAAAGACGACAGGACAGACACGGCTTTGTACGTTCTTCGAAAATATGGGATGGAAGGTAGGCATTCAATATACATTTTTTTTTAGTTTGGGTTTTGAAGGAGATAAAAAAAGAAAAGAAAAGAAAAAGACAGAACCATATGTACGTCGCCGTGGTAATCGGATGACATCCATAATGAAGTTCTTCCTCGTAATGATCTCTCTGTTTCGTGCATCGACTCAATCCTAATTACTCAAATTGTAATTTTACCCCTGAAAAACACGGTTCGATAAAAAGAAAGGAAAGATTGAATGGTACGAACGAAGACGAAAGTAACTTACGATGTTTAATTAACAAGAAAAATTTCAAAAGCAATCCAATCACTAAATAATAATAATAATAATAATAATAATAATAATAATAATAATAATAATAATAATAATAATAATAATAATAATAATAATAACAGCAACAACAACAACAACAACAATAATAATAATAATAATAATAATAATAATAATAATAATAGTAATAATAAAGAAGCGCGTCGAAAAATGATAGACTCGTCTCGTCGTGATCTCATCTTATCCGAGACAAGAGATAAGAAAAAATAAAAAAAGGGAGCGTTCTGATATTTCGCTTTGCTCGTACCAATCCTATATATAATGCATATACACTTTGGACGTTCTTCTTTGAAGCTGCTAGAGACTTGAGCCAGACAACGAGGGGAGCTTTTTTTCCCTCTTTACAATTTTCTTGGCCTTGACGCGTCGTTCTTGGCCATTTATCGCTACGGGGTTTCTCGTTCAGGTTGATTTTAAACGATCAGCGGATAAAACCAGGGCATATTGTTTCCAAACAATATGTCCTTCCTCTCGAAGCTTGTTTCCAATTTTCTATTTTATTTAAAAAATAAATATATATAAAAAAAAGAGAATAGATAGATGAGAGAGAAAGAGAGGGGGAGGGAGAAGAAAAAAACCGATCTTTATTTCCTTTCTACGTCATCTTTTATATTGATTAAAAAAGGGGAAGAATTTGGCTGGTGGAGTGGGAGTGTAGAGGGAGGGGAAAAATAGAGACAAAGAAAAAAAAGAAAATGAAAGGAGTAAATGGTTTTGGGGTTTGAGTTACCCTTCGTTGTGGATTCGATAGAGCGGTGGTTGTCTTCTTTTTCAGGTGTTCCGTGTTCCCGAGACAGCGACTGTGCTGCTCAGGTATGCAATTACACGATACCAAATTTACAAACGGAATCGAGAGAAAGAGAAAATCGTGTATATATTGAGAAGATGACGATGACGATAAGTGGAGGATGACCAAATTCTGAGGATACCTCCTTTATATATATATATATGTATATATATATATATAATATATATAGAAAAAAAGCAACAAAAAAGGAATTCGGCACATTAGCGAAAAGATTCGTTGCAGTTATGACAATGTAATTTTTTAAAACAAAACACGTGTAGTTACATATTTATCTAAATTTTGATGATTAATTTCCTCATAAGGATCCTCGATTTTTCGTCTCGTACAAATGAAATTAGAATATTTTCATGTAATCACGTCGCGATTTATACAATCTCGTTTAAATACGTTTAGATTTATCAAGAGACCCACAACACTCGTCTCGAATTTTTATTGGATTATTGGTATATTTCAATGAAAATTCGTGACGTATAAATTTTTATTGGAAGATCGATTTATCAAATATCTAAATTTCAATTTCGTCGAAAGTCGAGACGCTCTTTGTGTTAAAACGAGTAAAAGAGAAGAGAAAAAGAAATACGTGGTAGAACGTTCCACCGATATATAGATATAATATTATTAATAATAACAATAATATTAATAATAATAATAATATATAGTAATAGCAACATAATATCATGAAATGACGTCGTCTCGAATTTCGCTGATAATGTAGACGAACGAATTGTGATTCGTTTTATGCCGAATTCCAAAATACTTTTTTTTTTCTTTTTTTTTTTCTTTTTTTCTTTTTTTTTTTTTTTTTTTTTTCCTTTTAACCACATGCACACAATATATTCACATTCATAGATGTATTTTACAAGAGGTCTCATCTTCCCTCTGCTCTTTTCCATTTCAGTGGCGGCGTCAAGTTTTCAGACCTGAACGCTGAAGAAGGTGAGTTCTGCTTGTATTTCTTTTTGTCTTCTCGGAAAAAAAAAGAAAAAGATGCTTTACATATACTTATCGTTGTACGAATAGCGATATATATATATCTGCTCTATATATATATATATATATATATATATATATATATATATATATATATATGCATCGTTTTTAATCGACGCTTAATTAGTCCCCACTGAAGCGAGGCGTCATTTTTGAATCAGCAGATCACGATCCGATACGATATTTGTTATAGACATTATTTTAATCCTTGGAAAAGATTTAATTAAAATGTCGATGATTATTTTCACGGACAGCAGAGTTGGTAGGACGTTGTACTCTATATTGTTTATGTTGATCCAAGAATTACAGTCTACCTTCTCGTCGATGCTGGTGCTGATGCTGATGCTGATGCTGATGCTGATGCTGATGCTGATGCTGATGCTGATGCTGATGCTGATACTGCAAAACGTGTACAGATCGCGGAATCGAAACACGAGATAGTAAAACCTCTATTTTGTTATCGATCGACGACTTTACGCACGACTACCTCTCGTGATTTCCATTTCTCCTATATCCTATCGTCCTTCGTTCACTAAATTATTACCTTTTTTGCATTTCTAGCCTTCAATAGTCAACAGATTTTTATTCGAGGATTTCTTCCGTTTCTTGGACGATTTTTTTTCTTTTTTCCTTTCTTTTTCTTTGTTATTTTAGCCTTGAATTAAGTCGAACAATTCACAAGGATCACGATGAAAATTTATTAAAATCACGAGCAACGATCATCTTTCATTTAGAGATACTTCTTTAGCAAAATACAAATGCGTTTCGTTTAGTAACATTGCCAAGAAATTTTCTCGAGATCGTTCTTAGAACCTGCGACGTGAATTTATTCGACTCGTTTAATAATAATTTTTTTTATCATTATTATTATTATTTAAATTAAATCGAAGGAAGTAATTCGTTCGATATACTGTACTACCTATAGATTTTTCAAACGGCTCTAAGACATAGATATAGTCAGTTGATCGGGGCAAAGAGGCCATCGATGCTATTTCTAGGCAGATCAATGACACGTTTGATATGTTTTCTTTTTTTATCATTGAAAATTTCCACATAGTAGTCTATAAAAGATTCTCTCTCTCTCTCTCTCTCTCTCTCTCTCTCTCTCTCTCCTCTCTTTCTCTCTGATATAATGATAAAGAGAGAGAGAGAGCTTTGTGTCGTGTAAAAAAAAGAAAATTTAGTAAAGCTAGAAAACGAAAAGATAATATCGAAGTATTACCTGTTGCACGTTAGATTTCACGTAATAGATTTTTTCATTGAAATTATTTATGTAAATAATGTTCCCAAAGGGATGAGAAGAGAGTTATCAGGCGTTCGATTTTCAAAAAGTTTCACTATTGTTTCACGTAGAAATTATTATAGAACGTTTATGAAACGAAGTTAGTATGTGTATATACATATATGTATATGTGTTCTGACGCATGTTTTCTTGGGGGTGTTTCAAACGAGAAGAAAACTATGTCGACACGAACGCACACCATCTGGTTATTGCGTAAAAGAAAATACGGCGACCTGCCAAAATTCTTGCTCGATTCGACTTGAAAATCATGCGACGTGCGATTTCTCGAACGTCCGATCATTGTTCATCTAGTAAATTTAATCTCTTTTTTTTTTGTCTTTATTTATTCATTTATTTATTTCTTCTTTTTTTACACCACTTCCCTTTTTTTTCTTTAAGCTATTACATTCTCATATCAGAGATTACTTTATCGATCAAGGTCAGACAAATTTTCCACTTGTTTTTTGCTATCTCATTTCCATTCCATTGAGATCATTAGGATATTGCCTTTAGATTTATATTAACAGATAGAACGAGAATGTAGCGACTCTATGCAAATCGTTTCAAACTATAAATATTTCATTGAAACAGTTTGCTAAAGAAGTTAATTGGTATGTTAATATTATCGAACGTTTGAAATATTACTTGGAAATTATTAATCGAGCATGTTCGTTGAAAGAAATATATAATATTATGACAAAAGGATCTATATATAAAGAGTATTAATTAAGAATTGTTTCTATAGATCACTTTTTTCGTCGATTTTAATCGTACCAAGATTTCACGATTTGATAATAAAACGGAAAAGAAAATAACGACGATATATCGTAATCGATAGATAAGAATCCATTAAGTTACGTTATCGAAAGCTATACGAGCTTACCTACGTAAGTTTTCTGAGTGATTATGATCTATGAGCGTAGAAAGAAACATAGTGTGACGTTTTCTCTTTCATTGGATATCTTGTTCCTTTCCAATATTATCGACTTTGTTATATAAGGGCAAGAAACATGCGCATTAGTTTCTAATTTCTTGTCCTTGAATTGCATGAAATACATTAATCCGGCTTCCGAAAAAGAGATATACCAATACCATCCCTTTGGCTTCGGAAATCTTATTTTCTTTTCTTTTCGAGGATTAACAATAATATCCGTGTCTTAACGATGAACTCGGTCTCTTTAATTAACATTGTAACCAAATCTTTATTTATATTATATATTTATTGGTTAGACATCAATGAGCTTCGAAAATGTTCAAGTGGTAAACACGGTTCGTAAATATGTCTAAAAATAATCTTTATTTAGGATGAGTATTTATTGCTTTATTATTGATGAATATTTATTGATCGCAAAGTACGTACGTATGTACTACATAACACAAACGAAACCTTTGGAGTCTCTTTGACTGGATATTGGACTCCAATGATTTCTTAATCGATAAGATCGAATCTTATGGGTTGACGATCGTTTCAATCTCGTATAAGTGGCCAATTTAAGATATAAATAAATCTGTCTTTGGTCTCATCATATTATATTATCGTCTCATCACTTGCAACGGGCTAACTAGCTCGTTCATTCTTTGGCAATAAACCAATTCACGATCTTTCTGTGGCTTCGCGCTACAGTGAAATTAATTTTCGATTTAAAAAAAGACATGGGTGGAGTGGGAGAGGAGGTTGGTTAAAAAGCGAACAATTCTTCTTGCCAGAGATTTTACGTGCCGAACGTGTGCTGGTACATGCCATTTAGAAGTAAAATAAACATACAAATCATTGTTGAGTTTTTTCTTCTTCTCTCTTCCTTTTTTTTTCTTTTATAAACTTTGAATAAATTTTACGATTTAATTTACGGTGCCACGCCGATAACGTATCTTTATCGCGACAAACAGTTTTCGTGGTTTATATATATATATATATAAATATACGTACTATGATGCTGTTTAAACTTTTTTCTGAAAATGAGGAAGAAGATGAAGAAGAAGAAATATTTAAGTCCACATGTCTATCTCTCATTTAAAAGGGGTAATAGAGAAAAAAGGGAGATTGTTTTCGTAGCAAGGTGAAGGTCAAAGAGCGAAAGTGTGATACGCGGCTGCTGTTTGGAGCAAATCGATACCCTACTGCCTCCCTCCTTGTGTTATCTCAACCCCGTACTTTCGCCCTTATAAATCCAAGAAACTTCTTTCGAACTTGTGCGCAACCATGTTTACCGCCTGCGTAACATCAACAATAAAATAGTTTTCAAAGCGAAGAAGGAAATGTTCTTTTCAAGAATAATGTTCTCTTTTTCTTTTCTCTTCGTTTATCTATTTTTTGTTTTGTTTTATAGCTTTTCTTCTTGAAAAATATTAACTACATAAAAAGATATAAATGGTTATGATTTACTTGGAAAGAGATTGATTACGCACAACGAAAGATAAAAAAATATCTTCTTCGTACTTTAATCAGATTTATGTCTTTGTAAATCATTAGATATCGTAAAAGGGTTGTAACGATCGAGTCAGAAAAATTTATTTAATATACATAAAAAAGGAAAAGAAAAAATAATAAATTAGCAATCTTAAGGTCGTGGCACACCTGTTATCCATCTATACATCATTAATTATCCGTCGATTTATGTATGGTATAACGATCGTTTTCTTTTGAACGTACATGTTCGAAACGTGTTAATGCATCTTTCACGACGTTGCGAATGTGTATCTCGTAGTTATGTAATTAGTGTCGATTAGAACGTTCCGGTTTATTAGAGAACTGAGAATTACAAATAATTTATTCTCGTAATATCTAATACGGTTTTAGCAGAACGATGTAAATCGTGCTCGTCTGAAGTACCAAACAAAAAGAAATTGGAAGATAACGCAAAGTGGCCAGAGATTTTGGAAGTCGATTCGAGTAAGGGTGAGTTCTCGATACGACGACGACGACGACGAGATTATCTCTCGTTATAAAAAATAAAAATAAAAATAAAAATAAAAATAAAAAAGAAAAAAAAAAAAAAGAAAAAAGAGAATACTCGAAAGGTAACCGAGTCGCCGGAAAAAGAATATGCGTTGTTTTGTATAATGTTAGATAAACGGAGAAAAAGGAAATCCTCGATGTTGGCTTTATCATGAGTATCGTGATAAGCTTCGACTCTGCAAGATCGTCTTACATATCTGTCATCTTTTAAATTATATTACGAGAGAGGAAAGAGAGAGAGAGAGAGAGAGAGAGAGAAAGAGAATAAAAGAAACAATATCCAGAAGAGATAACAATATATAAATTAGTTCTATTTTTTTTTCTGTTTTCTTTAGATATATCCGCGCTTATCAGGCGACTCGGACCGATCGAAAATATACGTGTATATATATATTAGGAAAGAGAACACGTTAGAAGTTCGATCTTTTGCTAGAACGGCTCTACCTCATCTTCGCTGCTAGAGAAGGCTGTCTTGATCCTGTGAATGATCGAACGATATCGACTCAAACGTAATTTACGTAAAAGCAGAAAAGTATATGTATATGTAGGTACATATACAAGTATATGTACCTACAGCTTCATCTTTCATCCTTCTTTTCTTAAATCTCTTCTCTCTAGGATCTTATGTTTCAACAAACGAAAACACTGATAGTGTTTAACGTTACGTCAATTACAATTTGAAAATAAACACGCAGAAATATGAAATTAGGAGGAAATTTTTATGTTCCATCAAGTTTATTATTAATCTTTCTTAAAACAGTTTATGGCATTATCTATCGTGAAAAAAATTATCCATGGAAAAATGATAACTATGAATGTATAAGAAATAATCATCATTCGTACGTTCATATACCATATGAAAGAAATAATCGGATGGCAATAAAAAGTATATTTTGTAGCCAGCTGCAGTGGGTAGAACAGATGCTTTTACCAGTATGATGCTTCTTGCATTTGGCACGATTACTACCATCACACATTAGTAGTCATGCGTATATCACATCTTATTTCTTGATTCATTTAATTTATAGATCATCTTGAAGGAATACAATTTGATTCTCTTCGTCTTCGACGTCTTCGTGCAATCGATATTCGTACAAAATTCTCTAAACTGTTGAACTCTTGTAGACGATCACGTATAGACACACATACATACACACCCGTACCTTTTAATTCGTTCTTTTTCATTGACGTTTCTCTTACGACTTTTGTTACAGGATTCAAATTTCAAGAGAATCTCTTACGTACGATGATACAGATTGAAAATACTTTTTTTCAATTAGGCGAAAGCTGTTCGAGAAATTGCCTTATAATCTGTGATCGTGGTGCCATGGATGCATCGGCATGTAAGTTTACGCTTATAAAACGATATATTTACTTTTTCGTAATAAGACATCGATCGAGTTTTTGTTTATTTTTTTTTATTTTTTTCTAAATATAAAATTACATCCAATAGTTATCTCGAAGGATAAATGGGAATTGATGATGGCTTCTAATGGTTGGAACAACGTGGAGTTGAGAGATAATCGATATAATCAGATCATACATATGGTATCCGCAGCGAATGGCGCAGAAGATTTTTATTCCACCGAGGATCATGCTTGTCGTTCGGAAGGCGTCGAACTTGCAAGAGAATTAGATTACAAAGCTGCGGCGGCTTGGGTCGGGCATCCTTACTTTGACGTGATTGACAATTCGCAAGATTTCGAAATGAAACTCTGTCGTATGATCGAATGCGTTTGTCAGAAGCTAGGTATCGATACGGGTGATCGATTACGTTCTAGCAGTTGTAAGGTCAAGTTCCTCGTAAAAGGTCCTCTACCGTTGGACAACGAATTCCCGCCATTCCAGGACTTCGATGTCGTACATAACTACCTCCAAAGTAATAATCCAAAAATGCAGGCTCGTCTGCGAAAACGTGGTCAAAAAGGTAATTTTTTTTAACGTCTGTTCAAATTAAATAAATAAATAAATAAATAAATAAATAAATAAATAGACGAATGAATGAAGCAAAAAGAATAAGGGACGATAAAAAAAAAAAAAGATAATAAATAAATGGAAAATAAAAATAAAAGATGAAAGAAACGAATCCTTTCGTTTCGATGTTATTTCTTCTTTCAAGGTCACTGGTCTTACATTCATACCATCAGACGACCAAAAATGTGTGGTCAAGTTATCGAGGTAAAAACCCAATTAACACACAGAGACTATCTAAATATGTTAGCGCAACGCGATGATTCCCACTTCACTATCTTCAAAAGACGACGTTGTTTCCTTATCAATAATCAGTATTTTCAGCTGGATATATATAAAGAGCCGGCACATCCAAGGTAAGTTTCCTGACAAATTTATTTTTGAGCCCATCGATGTAAAAAATTTAGCTTTAATTTAACTTTAGATGCCGAGGTCTCATGTTACTCGAAACTTATACGGCGTTGACGGGAGACGATTTGAAAAATATCCTACCACAGTTCCTTATTATCGAGAAAGAAGTTACCGGGAATCCCGATTATAGCATGTTCAATCTTAGTTTGCGAGAAGAATGGAATAGCACGAATAAATATTGCCACAATTTGCATGGTATGTATTGATATAAAAAAAAAAAAAAAAAAAAAAAAATAGGTAACTATTGAATCGGCACGTATAATGTATAAATAAAAAAATCTCTTCGAGAATGTAATCCTCTGTTTCCTTACGTCATAGGAAAGTGAGAATTTCTTTCACCTGCCAATTTTAAATTGTACAGATTACGCTCTTGCAGGATTGCCGCCAGATTCTGGACTGCTGGAGAATAAACGTCTTAATCTTTCAGATGTGAAAGATTCTTCTACGACTAGGAAACAAGTTAATGGAGTTGATTTTAGGATCGGTGGTATAGAACGCGATGTAAATAATGTTATCAATGTAGAACCAAATGGTATTAACGGTGTGGAAAATGGAGATAGTAAATATTCCGATTTAAATAATGTAAAGAGCAATCAAGAGAGTCAAATGCGTCTATGTAATAGTCCAATGAAAAAATTAAATGATTTGCCACAAGAAAAGCAAATCGAAGAACATAATAAGAATGGCTTTCACGGTAGCGTTAAAGCATAGCAGTGACAATACAGAGAAAGAAAGAGAGAGAGAGAGAAAGAGAATGAGAATGAGTGAGTGTAAAAACAGAGAGAGAAAAAGTTGAATAATTTCCAGAAGAAAAAGATGTCATATATTTTATCGGCACTGGCAAAATTACACATTATATAAAAAAGAATTTACATAAAAAGATTATTTTTTAATCGATCCTGCGTGTTACACATTTGGATATCTTCCATTAATAGAATGCACTTAAGGATTCAATCGTGACTTGTGTTCTTCGTTGATCCATCAACAAGTGATGTCCAATGAAATACCAAGTATTTTTACACTTGAATAATGTTTCACTTCCTTATTTACTATGTATTTTACTACCAAAAGTATTGTCTTGATTTTTAATTAAGGAAATTACTATGAATGATTCTGATAATATATATATATATATATATAAAATTTTTGCGGTATAAAAAAACAAAAGGAGCACGTGATTGTATGATTTTTTGAAATAGAACGTACAATCAACAAATTTTCTCAATAAAATCTATTGTCATTTTCTCCATAGTAATTAACATCTTTCCCATTAAATGTCTAAAACTTACGAAGAAAATAAAAATAAAAATAAAAAAAAAAAAAAACCAAAATAAATTATATAAAATAAAATAAAAATCAACAATTACCAAGAAACTTTTATCATAACTTTCGAATTTCAAATAATAGCGTGAGAATATTAAATGGTAGCTTAATTTACGGATGTGGTGGTATTAATTATCATAGATATATATGTGACTATCTTCTGTCGACTGTAAGATGCACATTGCTTGTCTATTGATTATTATCTTGTAGATTAAAAAAGAAAAAAAAAAGAGTAAAAAAGTGATGGAAAAAGTATGTTTCAACGATTGTAATGTTCTGTAACATACGAAAATTACGTATTTATAACATAAAAAAAAAAAAAATAAAACTTATAGATAGTTAGCGGGCACATACCCGTTCCAAATAACTTAAATATACATATTATGATTTAATTATAAAAAAAATTTCTGTGATTAATTGCAGAAGTATGACTGAGTTTCTACGAAAGATCATAATTTATTACAGATGTATATCAAACGGATTAAGATCTTCGAATAACAGTGGCATGATGTATAAATATGTTTTCTTCAGAAATTAAAACAAAACTAGATGAACTATGGTGGCTACACTCTTTGTGCTTATTTACATAGGACAGACACGTTTACTACATTTTGCCATTCTTTAAAGATAAAGTGCCTGTGAGATATTCAGTCGCGAAAATAAAAAAAGAATGATATATAAATATATATATTTTCAATGAAAAATGCAATAAGTTATTATCACTTATCTCATGTATAATGGATCTGAGCTCATATTGTACCCATTATTGTCTAATAAAATATCATGTGCCTATCAATTTTGGGAACTATTTTTATAGTGGGATTATTTATTTTTATTTATTTATTTATTTTTTTTTTTTTTTTTTTTTTTTTTTTTTTTTTTTTTTTTAATATTAACTAACAATAGATTTTATTTTGTAAATATAATAATCAATGTTATTGTTTTTTTTTCTTTTTTCAGATTAAATCTTACACATATTTTCATAAGCTACCTATATGGGAAGAAGATATAGGAACCGATAAATCAACATTAAATTACCAGTATGTAATTTATTGAAAATTTAAAAAAAAATCCCCATAATTGTACAAACAGTTGTACAAATATGAGTAAATATTATAACAACACATTCTAATTTTAAATATACACAAATGTTAATTTCATGTTTGTTATTTTATCTATTTGTACACTTCATATTGACAGATCATATTTGATTTTATGTCTGCATTTAATATTGAACAACTGTATTATATTTATAAGGGAAAAACTTTCGACTGGCTGTGACAATATATATTTGATTGCACAAAGATACCTGTATATAACAAAAAAAAAAAAAAAAAAAAAAAAAAGAAAAGAAAGAAAAAAAAAATATAAATTATATATTTCGTATATCTTTTTAACAAGTTATATTAATTTCATAATATTATAAATATATTAATAGAAGAGGAAGTAGTGCATTGATAAAAATTTATAGAGAATGCTTAAATATTGACATATATGAGCATTCTTTATTTAGTATTATAGTATATCAAAAGTTTTATATACTGAAAAAGTCTAATCAATTTTATATATTTATCAAAGATTACACGTATGAATGTTTTAATGAACGGAATTTTTTTTTAATAATAAATCCATATTGCTTTATACCATATATACTGAAGTTTTTTTCGTAATTACTATACTTCACTTTTTCATACGTGTATAAGCGAGTAGATATTATATACGAGCAGGAGACAAGAGGAATTATAAAATGTTTTACCAGAAGACAAGAAGAAGATATACTATATCCATTGTAATATGTCTCCGAATATTTCTCAATTACAATTGGATAACATTTCTGCAAAAACGGCTTGTTAAATACATGATTCTTACTAATCAATCTTTTTTTAAGCACATAAAAAGTATTAAATCTATAAATAATATCTAAACTTTGTACATTGCAACCTGTTCCATAGAGATATATACCAGGTACTATCTAAGAATACTAAAGCTTTTCATTATTTGAAAAGTATATATAATATGAATTAATAATTAGCACTCTGCTGGAAGCATTGTTTGCAAGTTATCTTAGATTTACATTTAATTCCATAAATATTTTTTTTTCTTTTTTTCTTTCTTTTTTATTATTATTATTATTATTATTATTTATTTATTTATTTTTTTTTAATGTAAAAGTCATTAAAATTTATAAAAATTGCCGTATATGGAAGAAAATATTAAAATATCAATAGTTCTCCCAAATATTATGTTTAAAGTAGCTTCCTCCATACAATTGTGAACTGAGTTTAGTGGAATTATAAAATTGTATTTATAACTAAATATTGGAAGGACTAATATTTTTTCTTTTTTAAAAGCAAATGACAATAATAGTCTTCATTGTCTTTATGTATACTACTATATAAACTTTAAAGTACTATTACTGCTTTTTATTTATCTACTAATAGCTTTAGTTTGTTGGGCTTTGTACATTTTTAAAACCTTTTTACTAGGAATTAAAGACTGACTTAGTCCTGGTCTTTTTTTACGTTTATTCGTATGATTGTTCTCTTGATCGACATCATTTTCATCATTTATGGAAAGTTGACCATTATATTGAGTTTGACAAATAATTGTTTCTTGTGGAGCTCGTATGGCTTCTAACTCAGCCGCTGTTCTATGCAAGTCTGAGTCGTGGGCAAAAGTACAATTATGACCAAATCGACATCTACCTTTCCTATAGTTCCAACAAATTTTTCTACCATTTATCATTTTAGTATCATCTAATGTTGGAGTCATTTTTACATGTTTCTCAAGTATAGCACTTTTAGCTTTTTCAGCTTCAACAAATGGATTAGAGAAGACGGAAGTTTTCAAGGTGGGTGTGCCATTAAAATCAGGTGTAGGTAATGGAAGTTTTTCTTTGGAAGCAGTTTCAGTTTGTGTGTCATCATTATTTTCACCAGGTTCATCATCTTCCTCATCTTCTTCCTCTTCCCCCTTGAAACTAAGAGTTTAGCAATATCAGATTACAAAGAACCAGCTCAATTGAAGAGTACGCACGGACTGATTACAAAAATACGCACTAAAACATATCTTTATATTTAATCCTATCAGGATACAAATAATAACTTCCATTTATTAATTATATATTGTAATAATCCTTTATATATACTTTATATTTTAGAAATATTATTACTAAAATAAAACACCAATAGAAAGGGCAAATAAAAAAGAAAAAAAAAAAAAAACATTCCAAATATAATTAAAGGATAAACATGCAACGAAATAAATAATTAATTATAACTCATGAAAATTAAGAAAATAACTTTTATATGGATGGAAAATAAATTTGCTGCGAAGATATATGTATCAAGAGTTATTAATCTAAAACAAACAGATCTGAAAATAAATATAAAAATTCATCATTACGTTTTTATGCAAATTGATTATCAAATAAGATAATTCAGATGACGTTTAATATCGGAGCATACTTCGAAGTATGTGTATATATGTTCATCAAACAATAGCAACAAGTTTTTAATATCATGAATATAATGATTTTGTCAACAAATTCCATACTGATATATATGACTGATTAGAGGTTAGCTGAAAGAGGAAATAAACAATTCAGCATAAATATTTCATTTTAATTTGAACTTACCTGTTATCAGCATCATCCGATACGTCATCACCATCACTGTCTGAACCCGACGAAGTTCCGTAATCCGCAACTAAGGAAGCCATCGTTCTAACCAATTAATTAACAGTGCACTCTACAAACACTAATCTAAATGTGACCATTGTGAATTGTTGTTCTTCTCGAATATCAAAAAGGTGTGGCAACAATGGTAAGACGAAATAACGGATGTTGGTGGTGCCGCCATTATTGTTTTATTCGTACCGGGAAATTTTAAAATTTGTAACTTAACATCACTTGCCTTAAACATTTATTTTATATACAGTTACTAATGTATTTTTCATAAATTATAAATCGCTCACATAATACCAGCTTCGCTTAACTTAACGCTACATACAGAATCCATTTTAATTTGAAAACTTTTCCAAATAGTAATTTTTCTGTAATCATTATTTAACTTTTCTACCAATAATCTTGTATTGGGTATGTGCAACCAATATTTTCCTAATGTTGGATTTACTAATGTTTGTGTTCCTTTCGTTGCAGACTCACTGCTTTTATCGTTTGATAACGTCCACTGAGTTATTAAATTTACTATAATAATAGGTATATAAAATTCATTTGCTAGAAATCGACATAGATTTGATAAGCGATTTAAAGTGAAATTGATTTCTGGTTCTTTAGAAAATTTAAAAATTATTCCTGGTAAAGAGTCAATGATTAAAGCTCTAGTACGTATACCATTCTCTTGTTTTAAAATACTTATCATATGTTGTAGAATACTAAGTAATTTATTAGGATCTCGTGCCAAAGTAATTCTTATCTGTTCCATTGCTTTGTTCATTTCCTATAAATATATTTTAATTTTATAGATAATTATCACTTCATCAAAATATTAAACGTTACCTCTTCATTATTCGTTTTATGCTTCAATATTGTTTCTACTCTGGAGGCAAAAAAATCTCCTTTGGTATCAATATACCTCACAAGATTATTAGGCAATAATGCAATATTACTTGCAATTGTTAAACACAATTGTGTTTTTCCAGAGGAAGATACACCACATATTTCATATATTTGACCAGGATTTAAACCACCTCCCAGTAAATCATCCAAACTGCAGTATTAATTAATGGAAAAATATTTTTATTCTTTCACATGTCATAAAAAAAAAAAAAAAAAAAAAAAATACCTTTTTATTTTGGTGCAGATTACATTTGATTGTTCTAATTTCCACAGATTTGAAGGTTTCTTCACGACCCCACCAAATTTCTCTGTAAGATTTTTCTTAATATCCATCACTTCCTATATAAAATTCTAATTATGAAAATCTATTATAAAACAAGAGATCTTTATAATGATATATAACACTTTACACAAACCTTAAACGAAAGATCTGTTGCGATTCTCAATTTATCTTGATCTTCGAGTATAAAATCAATAACGGTGAATATTTTTTTCTCACGTAATCGTTCTATCGCACATTCCGATAATTTAGAATGCATATTAGAATTTAACTTCTCCATTCCATAATCGTAATTTAATGAACAAAATAAAGAAATAAATTATATATATGAATAAAACGGGGCAATATTTTCTTCACTTTTTGTCTTCGAAAATTTCAAATCGTTATCACACGTACTACGTAGATCAATGTAAATATAAGGTAACTATCCAAAGTAGATGATGCGCCGTATTAAGTACTCGAAATGACCTCAGGCGTCATTCTGGTGGTCGCGCGTGGAGCACGCGGTTGCCCTCATGAAGAAAGAGTTGAGACAATGGAATCATTTGAAGAGAGAAGAGGATACATCGTGGTACGATTATTTCGTCGGGATTAACACTCTTCACATTCACACGTATATTTGTGCTCTTCTTGTTTTTCACATATTTTTTTTTCGCGTAACAACCTTAGGTCACTTTGAAGATGAAGTCTCATTTTAACGGTTTCTTCCGACGCATTCCCGATCGAATATTTCAATGTCGTACGTCGAAGATACGCGTGCTACTACGTATTTTTCCTTTACACCAAAGTTATATACGCCACGCATGCACATGGTCGGAGATAGGCAATCGCGTGCACGTGCTTTCGAACAGAAAAGATTTCGAAGGTGGGATGAGCTCCAAGTATCGCCGGAACACGGGATGAGATGATAAGAAGTGAGTACAAACTTCATTTTATTGCATCCACATTATCTTCAATGAAAGTATAAATTTACTTATGATAATGCAATAAACGATTCGTTCAATATTTCTATGGAAGTTTTACAATCAAAATGGTATTATTTATATAATTGATCATAATTTTAATTATCATGCAGAGAATCTTAAAAAGGTAATGCATACGCGATATTACAGCCAATTATACTTACGATTCTAAAATGTTAGCTTGTATGGTCATGGATCTATATAATGCTATATTAGGATTATTAAAGAACAGAAAGCCTTTTTAGATCAATTATAGTACATATATATATATATATATATATATATATATATATATATTATGTGTATATATATATGTATATATGTATATACACACACACGCACCACACGTGTTTGCATTAGTTAGAAAAGTTATAATACAAGGATCGTATAAATAAAATGTGATCTCGAAAATTTTTCATAGAAACGCATGCAAAAATAATAGTTCAATAAAAAAAATAGTATGAATATGTAGGAAATATTAATATACAAGACGAATAATGGTTGCTGATTTGATTAAAGCTTGAAATACTGGTAGTTCCAACATTTTAACGGGTAGCCAATCGTGAGCTTCCATTGACGCCACGTTGCCAAGCGTTTCCTTCGTTTCAACCAATCAGCGAGGTCGAGGTGCATGATAGCGCCATCCAACCGTGGCTTCTATAAGCGATCATGAGCAAGCTGCTCTTGATCCGGCCCCGACCGAAATTTTGTCGGGAGCCGTCGCCATGTTTAGAAGTGTCTGCGTCCTTGAGCGAGTCGAGCGAAAATGTTCTGTAAAATATTAGATATAGCTCATGTAGCGTATATTACGTGAAGTACCTAATTACAATTTAACGCTCGCCGATCACGGGTGTGACAATTATTTTCGTGGATGGCTCACCTACGTTGCAGAATTTTGTGATTACATTATGGTAAGTCCGCCCTCGTATCGGAGCAACGCCAACATGGCGGACGAAAAATTTCTTTTGTATCGCCGCGAGGCTCCACTGACGCAATTGTAAGAAAAAATATATCTCTGTGAACGGTACGGTTAAAAGAATGAAAAATAACGTATTTCTTATCTTAATTGTTCATTAGCAACTAGAAAATAGATATTTAGGAATTTTTTATAATGAAAATCTTAATTTATTCGTCGGAAGAACACTCGTACGCCCCAAACGTTTATCGTGCCGAGTCTCGCGTATTCTTAACTTTCTTTCGATATTCGAAATGACAACGCTATTTTCGACGACCAGTTGGTCGGTGAGACATTCACCGTCTTCGTGATACCGTAATTTTCAATGTACGCGCACTTCTGCGCAGTACTAACGTTTTATAAATTACATTGAGCCTCTATGAATGAATACATAACGAAATTTTGATTTCGGCGCTTTTTTCACAAATCAATTAACATTCCTACTTGACCATACTCTTATCCTATTTTCAGAACAAAGATCGTATCTAAGTATACGTTTGTTAAAAGAGAAAAAATGCTACGTTATGCCATTTAATACTTTTTATACTCATCAAATACTCACGAGATAATTAAATACGTTGACATTCCGTCCGTGATTTTATTTGTGTTGTGAATGTTTTGATAGAAGTGGTTTAGATTGGTTCAAATAACATTCGTAAATGTTTTGTTTATGTCCTTTTTATGCTCATATGTGTATATAATATAATATAATATATATAATATATATATATATATAAAAGTTATTAAATAGATCTCTTATATTTTAGTAAAGTTAATGTTTTTTGTTTTAATTCATGTAATAAAAATAATATTGTTGTGTTTATACAAATCACATGTATTATGTAGTACGTTTATTGTAATTAGTTCATTCTATTTTTAATTTTATACAAATATTAATACTATACTTTTTATAATTTCTTAATTTAAAACTTGAAATATATCAATATTTTTATAGTAGCAAATTTTCTTTTTTTAATTTTTTGTTTTTTGTTTTTTTTTGTTTTTTTTTGTTTTTTTTTTATTTTTAAAAAATTTTTTTTTATGTTTTTATTTGTTTTTATTTATTTATTTATTTATTTATTTTTATGTGTAACTTAAATACAATTAGATAAGTTTTCTACAATATAATTTAATAATTCTTATAGTGTCACATGTAATGAGTGATAAGCAAAGTGCACCTATTTTGCCGCCCCTTTCTGGGGGTGGAGGAAATAATGGGGGAAACAATGGCGGTGCAACTCAACAAACTGTCAGTCTCCAGCAGGTTCTGGCTACAGCCCAAGGACTCAATGTACTCACCACAGGTGGTGGGCAGCAGTTTGTTATTACTTCACAAGTTCCCGGCCTTACACAGGTAATTGTGAATAAGAAATGAAAGAAATAATAATAAAATATTAACTTATTGGCATCAGGTTTTTTCTATCTTGTAAAATGATATGTAATTTTTCTTAAAATTTTACTTAATTTCTATATATTTGACAAAATTCATTGTATTAGCTATTAATAATCGGAACATTATATTTTTCTATAGGTTGTTACAAGTAGTGCCACAACCAGTACAAATGTTCAGCAAGTTGGTGTTACAAGGATTGTTAATATTAGTAACACACCACCGCGTGTTAGTACTGTGGGAGTACCAGGTGCAAGTGGTTCACCTCTTACATCACCTTCTCGTCAAACTCCAACTAAAGTTGTATTGGCAACTTCCCCTAAACTCGTACGGACTTCTATGGGAAACATGTTTATTGCGCCTACTTCTCAAGTTTCAATGCAATCACCACCAGCAAGGAAAAGATTAAAACTTACAGAAAATACAGAAAAAGTAACTGCCACTGCTGCAGATGATGCTATGGGTTATAGAAGACGTATTATGGAACATAAAATGAAAAGAATGAGAGCGATAAGAGAAAAATATGCTGAGAATGCTTCAGAGTTATTCTTTCTTCATGCTGGTGGCAATATGATGGATTTTCAAGCTTGGAGAAAACGGCCACCTACACCACAGTATTTACATTTTTTAAGGCAACATAGATTAGATACGGAAGACAATAATGAAGATTTATCAGTTCCATTGCCATCAATACCAGAAATTTCA